CCTTAGTTTTTCCCAGGAGTCTCCCATCCAGGTACTGACCAGGCTCACACCTGCTGAGCTTTAGTGGGGCTGCCAGTTATGAGTTGCAGAGTGATATGGCTGCTGGCTATGTTCCAGTTCATATGTATTTCTGAACTGTTCAGAAAAGGTTGGATGTCAAGTTTTAGAGTTCTTACATTTCATACTTTGCCTTTTTGCTTAATCTTTATAATATAAAGCATTAGATTTGTATTAAGTATTTGATGAAATCGTAAGCTCTTTCAATTCAAAGAGCTGATAAGTAGGTTTATATATGGTAAAGGTTTAATTTGCATAGAGGCAACACTTTTAATGCCCCCATTGTTATATTATTCAAGACATCATAGAGTCCTTGTAATGCGATGATGCTGTATAACTGACCTTTGTTTAGCTTCTAGCAGCATCTGGACCTGTTTATCGATAATCGTGAATTGTTTAAGTGACAATGAAACATAATTGGAAAAAAAGGATCCAACTGCTTTTCTTTGAGGCTGAGGGAAAATATTCTGCAATTAATATTTTCAAATAATTGGACTCTTCAGTTACTTGTATAGTTTTCAGGATAATTTTCATTGTGATTATGATTTACAGTTTTATGCGGCATTTCAAGTTTGCATTGGAAGTTTTCAGAAATTTATTTATATAAATGAGGCTAGCTCTGAAAAGTTGTATACTAGACCAGTGTTAATTTCTAACCTTGGCTTTTCTGCATCAAAGGCATTTGAGCGGGCAGGAAGCCCTCTGTCCACTTCTATTTGACCTTTTCTGTCATATGCTCATTCTCCCTTTGCATGTGTTGAAATCCCAGTTTATAATTTTTCCATGACACACAATTGCTATAGTTAAAAATAGAAAATATGAAATGTTTTCAAGTGCAGTGACTGTTTTCAATTTCAAGTCATTTTTCTACAGTTTATTTTGAGCTTTGAGCTTTTTAATCGGGGGCCGAGAAAAATCTAAAGCTTTTAATATTTGAAGTTTGCTACAGGTTATTGTTCATTTTGTAAATGAGTGTTTTCAAATACAATACTGATAATGTGCTGCAAAAAATGTATAGTTTTGAAATCCACCTTTATGTCCTATGGATTCATATACAGTAGGTAAAAGTAGTGGGGAAAAAATGCTAATATCAATGTAAAGTTATTAAATGGGACTTTGGGTCACCACATGTATGACCATGTGTGGGCCACCGTATGGCCCGTATGCACTGGAGTTTATAATCTGCCAGGATCTGGAATTGTGCAGGACGGATATACAGCTCCATTCTTCTATGAGAAAGTCGGTTAACTCAGGCCTGGTTGATGGAGTTGAAAAACTTTGTCTCGGGCATTGTTATAGAATTCTTTAAATGTTCTGTGGGTTCAGATCTGATGACTGAGAAGGCCATGAGATAAGGATAACATCAGTGTCATGCTCATTTAACCATTGGGTGACCACATGTGCCCTGGGGATGAGTGTAGTGCCATCCTGGAAGAGACCCTCCCCTGCAGAAAAGAATATTAATAATAATAAATAATAATAATAATGACAGAAATAATTCCGTACACCTATATAGCGCTTTTCTGGACACTCCGCTCAAAGCTCTTTGCAGGTAATTTCCCTTCGCCATCACCAATGCACAGCCCCACCTGGATGATATGATGGCAGCCGTAGAGTGCACAGTATACTTACCACGCACCAGCTCTCAGTGGGGAGAGAACAAAGTGATGAAGCCAGATCAGAGATGGGGATTATTAGGAGGCCATGATTGGTAAAGGCCAATGGGTAATTTGGCCTTATTCTTTTCGAGAAACACCCTGGGATTTTTAATGACCAAAGAGTCAGGACCTCGATTTGTCTTATCTGAAGGACGCCGCCTTTTTACAGTATACTGTCCCTGTCACTATACTGTGTCATTAGGACTCTCACAGGCTGCAGGATGAGCGCTCCCTACTGGCCCCACTAACACTTCTGCAGCAACATGGGGTGAAGAAGATCACTGAGTGCCATTATGTCATGATTAACATTAATCTTGCCCTCTGAGAGAATGAGTGTACCCAAACCATTCCTGGAAAACGCACCTCACTACATTCTGAAAGTGCCTGAATGCAACACAGGTCTGCAGAGTGCTTTAGGTTGGTGACACAGGTGCACTTGTCCGTTTGTCGCGATCATGGTGAAGGCTGATTTATCTTAGATTTCTCCACTGCACAGTAGTTCCTCTTGTGTTGGGAGGCCGGTCTGGGTGCTGACAGCCTGCAGGAGGACCGAAGAAGTCACAGACCCCAAGGCGTCCAGGAGGCCCCAGGGGCCCAAAATCTTCTCTTTTAAGAAACGTCTGGATGAAGTTTACATTCACTTTCTTATGCAGGGACCTCTGTGCTTTGAAGCTTAGTTTTTCTCTCAGTTTTCAAGTTATTTTCCTGTTTCTTTTTATGTATTCAATCAGTTGTGGTCTGTTTTTATGGTTTCCTTCGCTTTTAACACTGCACAGCTTGTCCGCACATTTTAGTTTTCTTTTGCCTTTCGAGTAATATTTTGATTAAAAAAACACTTCATACTTTAAAGAAAGACATCTTTCATTTGCCATCCACATCTATTTCATTGTTCTAAGCTGTTGTGCCATTTAAAGGATTTAAAATCTCACGTTTGTCCCATGCATACCTTCCTGTAGTTGTACTGTTATTAAACTATTATGTGTAGTCTCATGTCCTCAACAAACCAAGCACAGCCTGCAGATTAAACATTTATTTCACTTTGACCTATGAACAGAAGACTGAAAGTACAGTGCCTATAGAGAGTATACACACCCTTTCAAAAGTGTAATTTGGTGGAAAGACAGTCTGAAATCAAGATGCATTAAATCAGAATTTATCTTTACACAGGGTAACACGCATCCTCCAAGTGAAACACAAACATTCTGATAGGTGATGACAAATAGAAACTTAGAAATGTGGGCCGGACAGGTGTAAATACTCCTTAGTAAAAACGAATGTAAACTAGCTCTGGTGTAACGAGTTGCCTTCCACATCGCACCAATTCCACATCGATATATTGGTCTGTATGGGGTGGTGGTATGAAGAATGTCTTTACTCAAAAAAGCCTCTGTTGAGTTTTGTTTGAGGCGGGGAAAAAACACTGGAACTGTCAGGGATCCATGGGTTTGGAGCCCAGCTTGCCCACCTTTGCAACAGTTTGGTAGATGTACAGCACAGTTGCAGGAGCAACTGAGCAGGATTCTCAAGACGTGTAGAAAAAGCCAATCGTGGTCCCAGTGAGACCAGGATACACCTTTCTGGCCTAATTGCACAACCAGTTCCATTGGCAAAAGCCCGATACAAGATCACCCAACTGACATCCAATTCTTGAAGAGGAACTGCTGCCCTCTGCAAGGAAGCAGAAATTGGGAAGGACGTTTACTTTTCAACATGACGGTGGCCCTACGCTCAGAGCCAAACCCAGCAGTGGAGTTGCTATTGAAAATAGTCAGTGTCTTGGCGTGGCCCCGTCAGAGCCCCGGCTTCAATCTAATTGGCATTCTGTTTAATAACTTGAAGGTTTGCAGTCCATCAGTGGTCCCCTCGCAATTTAATTGAGCTTGAGCAGTTTTCTAAGGAGGAATAGGGAAACGGCCAGATCTAGGTGTGCTACGTTGGAACAGACTTATCCAAACAGAAATATGGCTGTAATTCAAGCAAAATGTGCTTCCACCAAGTTCTAATTCAGGCGTGTGTACGGTACACTTATGCAACTAATTTTTCCTGGTTCTCATTTTCAGTTACTTTTCAGAATGATTTTCACATGGAGGTTGTATAGATGCACTGTATATGATGGTCTGCTGATTATTCTGATGCCATTTGATGATTGTTTTGCGTCATAACATAATTTGTTATAAAAAGATAAAGCTGAAATAAAGCTGAGTGAGGGTGGATGTCTGACCCATTCATTTAAAAAAGTTGTGCATTTGCTCTTCTGCCACATTAGGGGACCGTGTGACCGACTTCTTATGAAGGATATATATTTTTGTACTTTTAGCAAAATTATGTTGCAAATTTTTATTATTGTTTAAAAATTAGGTTTGTTATTTACACCAGTTTTTTTCATGGTTGCTCATGATTCGTGTCGAGACAAACAGACCTTTGCGCGGTGTATTTATTCAGTGTGCTTACTGTGACTGGTGCACAGCCTGGGTGTCTTTGTTTTCGTCGCTGCCCACACGGTGTTTTCTTTCTGTTGTAAGAGTTATCTGTATGCTTTGTTTTTTCCTGTTTCCCTCTTCCTTGCTCCCTTTCCACTAATGAAGTGCTTTGAATAAACTGAGGATCCTTTGTTTCAGTGGGTGGCCCAAGAGAACATCTGATTCTTCGTTGCTGCAGCCGAGTGAGAACTTGACAAAGACCCGTCTTTCTGTGCCCTTGAGGGGAACCGAAGTGGAATCAAAAGGTTAGAACTCAAGTTCCAGCGGATTTACATCTTTAATGCTGTGGCACGCAGTGTCCGTTGAAATTAAAGGGTTGATCTTTTTTTTTTTTCCAGGATACTTCAAATGTGTTATGGGCAAGTGGTTGAGTTTTTCATTCGCCTCAGCCATGAAATGTTTTCAGTGTGTAGTACAATTGATGCAGTTGCAGTATATACCAGGAATTTCAAGGATAAGAGTATTATTTAAAATTAGGATCTGTTTGTTTTGCTTTAAAGCCATGAGCTAAAATGATCTGGGAGAAATGAAGACAACTGCACACACAATGGTAGACTTGCACTGCCCAACTTTTGGTTTTGATTTGGATTGCAAAACTAGACCATTTCAAGACATCAGGCCACAGTGCCTGGCTTTCAACTGGCAGCTGGTGGCAACTCCTTGTCCGGCTCTTATTAGCCGCTCTAGAGAATATTTTTCAGTGGTTGATTCTCTGGTGAAAACATCATCTTGTTTTCAGATTCCATGAAAAATATGGAGTGTTGTAATTATGGCATTTTTCTTCTGCACACACAATGGATTTGGGGCCATATTAATAAAATGAATACTGTATATAGTGTTACATTTGCAATAATTTTGATAAAATTGTGAAACAGGCTTCTAAATTTACAGATCAGAAAGAAAATTTAAACAAGTCTTCAGCGCTCTTGAATTAGCGCTCCGGAAAGTTATATCTGTCACTCATTGATTTGTTTTCTCACTGGAGAAAAATTGAGCATTTTAATGGAGCGATAAAGGCTATATGAACACAGTTGTTATACACTGAAATCTGCATGTGTAAATCTTGTAGGTAGGAAGTTTTCTGAACAAGGTCCCTGTTCAGAAAGGCAATTATGTATATTTAAAGTACATACATTTGTTTTGGGATTTTCAGCAAAACATTAAAAAAAATACAGAACATTTACGCTTTTAAATAATTTCTATGGCAAGATGTCTATATTTTTATAACAAGATGTTGCCCATGACTGGTTATTGTTTCACTTTGTTGAATTAGCACATGACAGCCATACAAACGAAAAAATTCAGTTAGAAAAAAAAAAAGTGGACCGGAGCCTGACCTAGATAATCAAGTTTTAAATAAAAGGAAATTGTGGTCTATAAAAATCATGTATGAAACTCATTTATATTGCAAGTGCTTGTTCTTTAGCATATTTTCTGTTTTTGTTGTGCTTGCTTGAGGCGGTTGGCACTTGAGGCACTAACCCTAACCTTCCCCCAGACCTTTTTAAAATGAAATGGAAAGATCCTTGTCATTTTCCTGGCAAACAATCTGAGGTAGCTTGGACAAATTAAGCTTAACTTTATTGACCTGTTAAATCTCAGCAGATCCTGGTTTAATGATGTGTGCTTGTTCTGTGACATGTTGTCGTCCGAGTGATGCATCCCATGTCGCATGAGGTTTTGCACTAAAGCCTTGTCTTGAATTAATTTAATGAAGGAATAATTTTAGCTCATCTCAGATTTGTATCTTTCATCAGCATTAATCAGATATTAGTACAGATAAGTTTAGATATTAAAATCATGTGTTTGCAGAACACATGCCAGGTTTAACATATGAAACCTTAAGCTTTGAAAGAGTTTGAGGTATTCTTTCTACAGGACATGCGAAACCCAGGTCAAAGAGTCATTGTCTTGACATTTGTTGTCTATTATAGGCAGTTTTCATAAGAATAATTGTTACCTTACCTGAACATTAAGCTTTTAAATAAACCTCCTTACTTTAGAATTTAAATTCAGATGTTAAAAATTGGAAATCCCCATTATCTTCTGTGGGCATACTTATTTACACCTTATGTTTTGTATTTTTAAAATATAAATGTAAATTACTCTCTCAGTAGGTTTCCTTCTTTGTAAGTTAGCAAAAGATAATTCTTACCAGATACTCAGAAATAAGACCTTTAATACAAAGGCTGAATGACAATCTGATCTGAGCAGTTCAGTCAGTATTACCTTGCAAAGATCTTATTTCATGTCTTATATTCCCGCTTGGGTTCTCTGATGTTTCAAAGTTTAAACATACCGTTTGTGATTTTTCAGATTCGCTACCAAGTTGCAGAGTGGCTCGGAGATTGATTGAGAATAATAATAGAATAAAGAATGAGGCACAGGATCCAGCAGACGCAAAAAAGTCCCTCTCGGAGAGCAACAGGAAGAGAAAGACAGGTGTGGAAACGGAGGAGCCCCAGGTAAAGATGTTTGTCAGAGCTAAATCCTAAATATCAGTTACCTTCATAGTTGAAGTTCTTAAAGGAAATTGTGTGAAGTATTTAGTTTTTCGTGTCTACCTTTATTTGTTGTCTTCTTTTTTAAACGTTACGTCTCAATAATTCACATTAATACTGTACCGCACATTAGCTACATTAAACTTTGAGGATTAGTTTTCTTTTAAGTATTTTTATTCACATTATAATACATATCCTCATACAGTCTAATACATTCTAAATACATTGATCTCAGATTGCTACCAACATTTCCAGGTTCATGCTACACTTTGGGCTATTCTGCCTGTTTGTGTTTTGGCCTACATCATTTTTTCCCTTGAGGTGTAATTCCTCTTTATTCACCACTGTCCAAAAATTTAACAAAACACTTATTTTATAATTTGTCTTTTTGTAGGGGGAGAATAGAAATGATTCTCTAGTACCTTGTGGTGGCAATGAGACCGCAGACAGTATTGAGAACTGCCAGACCCCAGGCAGGAGAGCTGTTCTGGAACAGACATGTCAAGTTTCTAGCTCTGCAAAGAAGCTCTGTCTGCGAAGGTCAGGCAATAGTGTGACTCCTGAAAGCCCAACAGGGCAGAAGACAGATCCCGTACAGAGTAACAGCACAGAGACCAGTACCCAGGCTGGAGAGAAGCCCCCCTGCAGTGACCAGCCTGAGCAGAGGACTGAGGAAAGGGAAATGAGTGTGAGAACACGTCACTCTGCCTCCAGATCAAAGTCCCCGCCTGCTCCCAGCGAGCCAAGTAAGTGCAGGTTGACAGGACAGGCAGGATCTGAAGGAGCTTCAGATTCACGTTCATGGATTAATCGGGAAATTGGTGTGATGAATAGTGTGGGTACTTACATGCAGTTACTTGTTCTCTTCTAATTAAGAATGTTTGTTGTTTAGGTGTCAAGTTTTCAAATATACATTTCTGAACTGAATGTTACCCTGTAGAGTTACTTGTTTGAGTTATTGAATTTGTATTGAACCCTCATCCTCACAAGGCTCGTTACCAAGTAGACAGGGTGGATGGTGTCTTTAATGTGTATCAGGCACATTATTTGTAGTAGTTTGTGCTTTTTTGTTTGGAGCATCGGTATAATCTTAACAACAAGTCTAATAAAACGTTTCATAGTGGCATGTAATTGGAGCACAATTCAAATATATTGCTTCAATCAAAGTAGAAAAAATGTGCACAATTGACGTTTTAATCCGAGTCTGTATAAATGTCAGTTTTAAAAGTTACTTGAAGATAATGAAGAAAAATTGTAATTGTTCATGACTGAGCCCTGCTGCTCCTTCCTGCTGTAGATCAGATGTACTACCTCAGGGTGATTGGGATTATTTCCACCTGTGACTTTTCCCAAAGCCCATCAAAGCATCCTGCCACAGACGGGCACCCTGTGATGCTGTGGCTTGCAGAACATGCCTGCAAAAGTACACATTTCCTCTTGTTGGAGTTGTGGTCTCTACAGAGCAGATGAAGCACAGTACAGAGCTACATCTTGAGCAGAGTTGCTGGATGTGCTGCTTTGTTATCTGGACACCTGCCTTTTTTTAATACATAATAAGGATATAAAACTCTTTCATAGATCTGCCACTGTCTAAAATTGGAAGCTGTGTGCCTAAATTCCCTTGTTTGAGCCGTGAATGTGAATAAATAGCATCAAAATAGGTATTTTTGATGTAAGGATTAGTTTAGGTTCAAAAAGATTCTAAATTTCACAGTTCTGTAAAAGTTCAAGTTGACCATCTGAGCTACTGAACTGAAAAAGAATAGTTCTACAATTTTTCATATCACTGGTTCCCTTCTTGCATTTCTGTTCCCTTCCGAAATATAACTTTTCTACCTGAATCCCTTCCCCCCCGCCTCCTTGTTTTAAACCTTTCTTACCAGTGTAGAATTAGACCAAATCACAGAACATTTTTAAACACTTAATAGGTTTATTCCATGCTGAATACTTGTTCCTTTGAAGCCTACGCATGTGGACGCAGCTACCCACCTGAACTACATTTTTAAACACTTAATGGACACGGTCCCCCAGTGTGTAAGCGTGCACGTGACTGCAAGGGATCCACATGGTTTCTGCACTAAAAGAGTGTTTCTGTGTGTCTCAGTCGTTCTCTCCAGTGATGAAGAAGAGGGGAACAGCTGCACCCCTGAGTCCACCACCTCTCTGACCCCAGCTACTAAGCAGCTTCGGACAAGTAACAGTGAGATGGAGGAGAAGGAAAGGCAAAAAGACGTCAGAGAGTTGGAGTACCAGGTACACCAATAATCATAAATTGTTTTTTTATATAGCGCCTTTAAAAGTGGCTCTTCGAAGCACTTCGAAGCAGAACAGCAACGAAAAAAAGACATTGAGAGGAGATAGTAGAATGGGGTATGGAATACTTGTAGGAAATCAAAAGGGCACGCAGAACCAGTTAAATTAAATAATGAAATCCCTTATGAAAAAGAAGGTTTTTACAAGACTCCAGTATTGATGCAAGATTCATTACTGTACCAATGGCTGCTGTTAAAAATCCCATTTCCTATTAAACTTAGATGCTAGAAATGATTGTCAGATTGTCAGCTCATTGGCATGTTGCATAGTGCCCCTAGGAACTAGCCCGAGTTAACGGTGTTCTGTCGAGGGTGGGGAGATGATGCTCAAATCACTGGCAAGCCTGGACGTACTTGTAAAGCTTCTAGCAGTGTCTTTCTTGCTTGAAGGCAGTCCCCCATTCAGCTGCCATAGAACACGTTCAACATCAGAAGCCCTTGCACACATAGTATATTGACTTTCAAGAGTGTTTTGTTGAGTTAGAGATGACTTGAATCTTGATCACTGAACTTGGGCTGCAATTAAAAAGTGTTTCACAGTTGTTAGATTAATGGTTATTAATCAAAAACCTGTTTCACTACTTTGTTTTGAAGGTATGCAAGGTTGTAAGCCTTGGAGTTCTTTAAATTGTATTTTATAAAAATAATTCCCTCTGCTCTATCATATTGGAGTCATCCACAACATCTAAAAAGGTTCATTATTGCAGTACATTTCTGTCTGTATTTAGTTTCTGTCTGTGTCTCGGAAGTGAGTAGCAGTTTGTATCTGAAGGTACAAGTTGAACTTCTCTATTCCACCTAGAAACAGGTCCTTAGAAACTGACAGGTATAAAATGAGAGAATTAGCAGAACCATGGGAGGTCAGTATTGTAGTGAGCAAACTCTTTTTATTTAATTTTGTTGCGACACTCCTGTATGATGGGATACATCCTCTATAAGCCTACTCTACTCTAGCTGAGGCTTGTCAACATTCTTCATTGCTTTTTGCTGTTACACAGTTTCGGTGTTTTGCCACAAGAAAATTTTTTTTGTCCTACCATCTTGCCTGAAATACTAACGCCTTCGTTCAGAGAAAACTTTTCAGTACACTGCTTTTCCTTTCCTTCAATATCTTATGAACTCTCACACTTTTTTTACTTTCGTTTTTGAAAAAATAACTCATTTTGCTCATTCAGATCATCTACTGTACATTGTAACACACTAGGCACATACAGATGTGCCATTTCTGATTTTTGCAGTAATTGCATTTTTTTTGCTGTATTCATATTGACACATGCTTAAGATTTAGTAACGTTGCCAACACCTTCGCAATCACAAATCACTAATCACATAATGTGCATCTCATTGTGGGAGTCTTGACAGTGTCTTGGCTGTGGTAAAGAGGCAGGTGGCATAGTTAACTAGGGGTGATGTAATTACCGGAGCTTGGTGGAACATGTACCTAATAGTATTCAGCTATTGCTTGTAATTATTCTTTAGTGAGGTAAAAAGGTCTTTGTGTTATAATAAAGGGAGTTGTGTGGAATCAAATAGGATTGGTATTGACACATCTAGAAAGAAAATGTTATAAGTTAATAAATAAAAAGTAGGCAATAAAAATGGTCTTGTGCCCTTTGCACTATCGACAGGATATTATGGTCTCTGAAAGGAGAAGCAGACCTCTGAGGAAAAAAAATAGTTTGAATGAGGGGTGGTGGTATTTGTTTTTGGAGAAAATGTGAACAGCGAAAAGAAATCCTGGTTATCATTCGGACATGCTCCGTCCAAAGATCTATGTCCTGTTTTATATATTTGTTTTAAAAAGCTCTGACACTTTGAATTTCTTGATCTCTGCTTCAGAAATTGGATGAAGAAATTTCCCTGGGTGAGAAGTCTGCAGAGTCGGATGAAAAGGAGAGGGGTCTCTATGTGGAACTGAAGTTTTCTGAATTTCACTTTGGGAAAATAAAAGGAGAGCCCCATGGCTGTCTTCAAGTAAGTGCATTTTTCAGTGACCTGAGCTGCTGTATTGTGAGGCCAGCAGCAAAGGTCATGTTGTGTCCACCACCCCCCTTGATACCACCTGTTGATACCTTCCCCTTTCTTGGAGTGGTAACAGCGAGTTGTAACTATACACAGGTTATAGCTAGAAAATTATCTAGATATTTTATGTAGGTGAATATCTTTTGTGTAGTTTGTTTCAGACACAGAAAACAACCTGAAACTTAAAATTGCATCTATTCACTGTCGGCATGCAAACCCACAGTGCCAAAAGAAAGCTTGTGCACTCCTTAGGATGGTTCATATAACTGTTTATTTAAGACCTAAAATGTAATTATGTTTTTATTCAAAAAGTCTTAATAAAACACAAAACTAACCTGATTAAACATGATTAAACACCATTTAACCAAACTGCAGGCTATTAAAAAATGAATGCACAAAAAGTATGGATTATATAAGCAAGAAAACAGTAGTGTTTTTTTCCAGCCTGTTATATTTTACATAGTATATTCTGTATAACAGGCACAGTCAGATTTCTGTTTATATCACATGGATAAAAACAGTGCAGTAGTTGAAAATTGAACTGAACAGGGTTTCTTCTCTGTTTTGTAGTTCTGTATTTCCATGCCTTCTTCCAGACTTTTTTTATTGCTCAAACGTACAGTTCTTTTGCAGTTTATTTTAATACATGACATCTGTTTTTCCAGTGTTGCTTTATTACGCCCGTATTGGTGCAGGTCTGTGTGTGTATATATATACAGATTCACAGACTGTAGCCTTAAATATGCTAAGCAACAACACATAGTAAATGAAAAATCAAAATAGCTGTTAACATTTTGTCTGTAAAGTGCCAAAACATATTTTACAGTTAAATAAAAACACTCTTAACGGTCTCAGAATTGCACATATTGTTCTGTATAAAAAAATACAGAAACAGCAATGAAGAATCTCAGACCTGGCCACAGCAAACTGGCTGAGAATGCAAGAGGCTGTTTGTCTAGAGATTTTTAAGATTTTTTGGAAAAGCCTATTTTCTTTCTCCTTAGACCATGACGACTTCAAATAAGACTATATTTTCTTTTCTTTTTAATGAGAAGTGAGGAAATACTGCTTACGCAATGAAAAAAGACAGACACATTTTTACAACCTCTTATTGTTATGAACGTCTTTCCAAAACACCTTGCGTTGGGATCTGAACGTTTCTATTTCTAATGCAAAACAGGGATCTGACACTCTCACAATCCGTTTGTAATCTGCCTGTTGTGCCCACAGCTTTAACGCGCCAGATTTTGGAGAAATGTTCATAATGCCTTTTGTGTTTGCTGCTTTGTGCGCTAAAGAAAATTCCAGCTAGTAGGTGGTCTACACGTCTGAAACTTTTAGGGTTATTGCAGTAGTGGCACTTAAAAAGAGGCTCATTAACACTATTATTCATCTGCTAACCAGCGTCTTGGAGGTGTTCACGAAAGAGCAATGCAGAATCATTGCTGAAATCCCCAGTAATGTTTTTGTATTGCTCTTATGCACATAAGGGCAATTTGTATCTGCTGCGGAATTGCAGAGCAAGGTTCTTCCTATTAGTAAGTAATTTCACATCACGTCTCCTCACAGTTTTTAGATTTCAGAATCTTTTTTCATATTCTCCTCCCAGACGTAGGTGCTGCCAAAGGGCCTAAAGACATATTCACAGATAATTCAAGCCTTGTACTTCTGCACCTTCTGTACGTCTTGTCAACTACACCTTTGAAGCAAACAAAAGCTCATTCTAATTGGTATCATCTAGATAAAACAGATCATCACAACAGGCGACTTTGTTATACTAAAGAATTAATGGGGGAGCTAAGCAAGGACAAAGTGTTTCCAGCAAATACAGGCTCGGAATGCTATAGTCGGTCGAGAATGAATTCCAAGATGTGCCTTACCTGCTGCACATCAATGCATACCACAGTCCAGAGCAAATCCTTGGCTTGCTCAAAACCCAATTAGACTGATTGATGGTCAGTGTTTCTTACAAGCAGTCACTCCCGTGAGAGCATTGTGCATACTTTTATTCTCCTGGTTCCATTTTCTTTTTATTGCTTATATCCATATTAAATAATACAGAGTTATAAGGGAACTTTGATGCAAGAATGCCCCTTCTTCCCTGGCTAATAGTCTCCTGCTGTGATATTTTTTTGTGAGGTTCCCGCACTCATGTTTCCCATATATTTACCCAGTAATCAAGAATCCTATTAAAAATGTAATTATTTTCATGCAGTAGTCATACCAAGTATGGCATTTTTGCTGACTTTATATTTTCTTTTTCTGTTTGTTTTATAGGTTACAGGAGAAAGTATCATAATACCACTGAAAGGTAATCTTTGTAAATTTTACAGTAATTTAACTATTCTAGACTGTAGAAATTTAGTTTGGGTGATCATTGAGTAATCTTTAATAAACATTGCCCAGTTTCTTCACAAACTGAAGTTGCTGGTTAGGACTTCTTGCTGGTCGGCACCAGGCCTCCGCCACAGTGACCAGCTACTGTGTCTTTCAATATGTTATTTATTTTTACTCTTGGTCTTATTGGTTCTCTTTGCTTTTTTCATTTTTGTTCTCAAATTTTAAATCATTTAACAGTTATAGAGCTTATGTATCGTTTGACTGACAAGCAGGAGCTATACTAAACAGGGTAAAATAGTATATTTTCAAAATGAAAAATTCAGATATCTTGTTATTAACCTGTTTGACCTTAGAAAACGTATAACTACTAATAGACAGTACAAAGAGAAAAAGCAAACAGGCAGCAATCATTAATATTTTAGCTAGATGATCCAGTTCAGCTGTACCTTTTAGCAAATGTTTTTTTTGGTGCGCTGTTTTCCAAATTAGAACTTGACTTTACCACAAAACATATGCTTTCGTAAAGCAGTTTGATGAGTAAGAACCTATGTTCACATTTAATTTGTGCTAACAGTAATTCTATTTTAATAATAATTGAATACAGCATAACAGATTTGTTTCATGATATAATCCTTGAGATGCCATAACTGTGCACAGCTCATCAGTGTGCTTCAAAAAGTAGTGTAATATTATAGCATAATTTTTCTGTGTGTATCTCAGTGCCTGGCAAAATCAGCCAGCTACAGTACTGAGACTTAATAAAGAGGAACATGATCTATGCTGTCAGTCTGTGATAATAACAGCATTAATGAGTATATTAGTGACAGGACTCACAAGTAATCATGTGCTGCAGATTTGTTCTTTTATTATCCTTTTTTTACAATGTTGTTACTGTATTAGTTGTGAGATGTTTTTAGTTTCATTGGCTGATTTCAGTCATCTTTAATCTCTCAAATTTAGAGTACAGTTCCTTACATGTTCCCTTTTCACTTTACAGCACAAGAGGAGTTGCTTATCTTGGCATGTTGTATGCTTGTTTTGATATGCAGGGTGGCTGTTAATAAACTAGGATCAACACAAAGAACTGACAATTCCAGATAAGAAAAGAGAGTCCTGCATCTCATTTGCCAAAATACATTATCTTTCACAGCACCCCAATTCAGGTTTTTTAAGCACCGTCTTGTTTCACCCCAGACCCAGACAATCGAGGTGAGACCCTCTCTCTGACAGTGGTGCAGTCCGAACTGAGGAGGTACGGTGTGTGGCAGCGCAGCCCCGTGGGCGATGGCAGTGAGGCCTGCACGCTCATCTTTCTGTGGGTTTCCGAGGCTCAAGCACAACTTATCCAGAAGGAGTTATCTCCAGTTTATCCTGTCGAACAGGCAGGTAAGGCTTTGACGAATAACATTTTGCGTTCCATCTGTATTCTTTTTTGTGTCGTTTTTTTTATCTGCATTAGAAGTTAGTTTTTTCTAGGTGCAAAAAGTAATGATTTTAATCAACACAAGAGGAGCAAAAGATTTGACTTTGCCTCTGTTGGTTAATAAACATTACTTTGTGCTATTGGTATAATTGAAAGTAACTGGGCTTTGAGAGACATTGACCAGGGAATGAGAGAAGGTCTGCTTCAGTCATCAAACCAGTCCGGAGAAGCCAAAAAACTGGCTGCATGAGGCATTTGCCACATTGACCCAAGGCCGTCTCTTTCATCTTATTCAGCGGCAAAACCATTTACAGACTGCACCAGCTGTTCCATGAGAAATTCCAGGAAGACGTAACTCGCATATCAGTAGACTGACTGTAAACTTGCCATCGTGTCTACATGTTAACATGGGTAACATGGTGGTAACTGAGGTCTTGGCCACTGGTGATGATGGAGGGAACGCTGGAGTATTTTAATCATTTGGCAGACAAAAGGCAATGCTGTCTTCAGAGGGGCAACGGATGGCACTGTGAATCCAGCAGTAACTGGGAAAGGTTTCTCAAAGGTCTGTGTCTGAAAGAGGAGTCCGTGTTCTTACCTTGACAACATCTCAGTATCTTCACAGATCTAGTCCGTTTTTATGACACGGCAAGAAAGAAGCCATTACTGACAACCCGTACTTAAATCTTGTATGGGATACACTGCAGACATGTGGCAGAACATTTTATGGTCAGACAAGACAAAATTTGAACCTTTGGAGGCAGCATCATGTTAGGAGGGTGTCAGCAGGGACCGACTGAGGGAAAGCATCTGGCAATGAGGGATGACTGAGCAAAGTACAGCTGAATTGGAGAGAGAAACCTGCTTGAGTCACCTCAGGAATTCAAAGCTGTGTCGCAAATTTACATTTTATCACGACAATGATCTGACTCACAAGGCAAGAACCAAATTGGAATTGCTTTGGCAAGAAGTAAAGAGTAAATGTTCTTGATTGGCCCAAAGTCCTCCCTTAAATCCAATAGAATGTTCATGACCAGGCATGAAGATTGCCGACCATCAATGATCCCAACATAATTGTTAGAATAGGAGGAATTGTGCCAAGAAGAATGAAGAAAAATCATCCCATTGTGCAAAGCCAGTGCAGACCTATCCAAAAAGATTGAGAGCGGATACTGCCAAAAATGTTTCTACCAAGTACTGACATAGGAGATACAATACTTATGCAATTGGAAAATTGCACTTTTTCTAACTTCTTACAGGTTTTGCTGACATACAGCCTGGTTTGCAAATAAGTCTTCTTTTATCTTGACTGTATATAATAAAAACAGTTCATCTAAACCAAAATGTTACTGGTAATTAATCAAAATGCGATATATGTTGAATATGTGATTAATTTGCACCTCTTTCCTTTGTGTTTTTAGTTGCAAACATATTTAAAACATAACTTTGTTCTCTGTTCAATGCTGTGGGCCAACAGTAGCTCTTTATTTTTGTTCTCATAAACATCTGCCTTGCAATGATATATTGACAATCATTGTTAATCATCAAAAACGAGTTTAGCATCCTAAAGCCAAATCCTGTGTAACATTAGTGCTGAGTGCCTCCTCCTGAATAATAATAAATCATAAATATTCTTTTACATAATACCTTAAGAAAGAAAAAGAAAAATGTTTAGTGGACTGTCTAACAAATACTTCAAAACCTTTGCTCACTTATTAATAGCCAGTTCTCCTGTTGTCTTGTGTTCATGTTCTTGTTGGTCAGCTAAAGCCAGCGAGTTTGTGCTGCTGAAGCTGTGTGCAAAGGAAGATGAACAGCATTGCAAGCGTCTGGGCAAGCTGATGGGCTGGAGAGACGGGAGCTCGGAGCTGCTGGACCCCCTGTCTCAGTCTGAGGGCCTGTCTCTGCTCAGAAGGTTTGAAAGGAACAGCCCACTCTTGTCTGTCCTGAAACAGTGCGAGGCACAGAGAGCAGAACCAGAGGACCATCGTCCACAGAGCGGTCACACCCGCCATTCCCCAGCCTCTCCACAGGTGACTCCTGGTTTACTGGCTTGCTTTCTTTCTGCTCTTGCCCGTTTTCTTCATGTCTTCCTTTTTTGTCTAGACCAAGGCCCTCCCGCTGAACGTGGCACAAAAAATCGTTGATTTAATTCCTTCCTTCTATTTTCTAAGTGCTTCTTCCAGTTAAGGGTTGCGGGGGAGCCAGCTTGAGGGGGCACATGGCAGGATACGCCCTGGACAGGACGTCAGACACAAACACACAAAGACCATTAGATAGATAGATACTTTATTGATCCCGTGAGGGAAATTGCAGTGCAACAGCAGCTTAACACACACAACACAGCCACAGTGTAACGAATTATATAATAATAGTACAATACATACAATACAATACAAGAGTTACTCACAGTCCGGACACAAAAGAGGAAACTAGAACAGAACAGTACACAGAAAATCGTATCACACGTATGAATATAAATATAGATGTAACCATAGATATAAATATAAATATAAATGTATTGCACAGGTCCCTGGCATATATTGCACAAAAGTGGTTGTAAACGGGAAAAAGAAAAAGAAAGAGAACAGATGTAGCAGTAGATGTGTATATGCGTTTAGTCCAGAAACAGGTCACTGTCGCTGTTGCCTCTGCCAAGACTCAAGGTGGATGCGTTGTACAGTCTTATGTCAGACGGCAAGAATGACCTCCTGTAGCGCTCCCTGTCGCACCGTGGATGAATCAGTCTATTGCTGAACGTGCTCTTCATTCATTAACAGCGCGCACAAACACACAAACTCACACCAGTTTTCCCAGAAGCGAACTTACCCACCAGTATGGCTTTGAACCGCGGGAGGAAATTGGAGCACACGAAGGAAACCCACGAGATCAAATAGAGAACATACAAACTCCACGCAGACAGCACCCCAGGGTTGAATTGAACCCAGGGCCCCAGCACTGCGTGGCAGCCATGCTGACCATTGTGCCACCCTTTGTTTTAGTTGTAAATTTTAATTTTCCATTTCGTAACAGAACATATTTATGGAGGCAAGAGTTTAGAAATGCTTTTGGGTCCTTTTGATTAGTGCTGGAATTAATGTTGGTTCTTTTCCCAGCCATCTGGAAAACTGGGATTGGTCCTCATCTATCAGTTAAAATCAGCAGCATCAGCTAGGGAGAAAATATTAACATTCCCTGTTTGATGAAACCAGGGGTAAACACCACTTATTATAAAGCCAGCTGGCACTGAGAAGAATAAGCCACCTCAGCCTGCTCATTAGGAGCTGGCTTTCTTTGTGATCTGTGGTTTGATTTTCTGTGGTCTTCAGGAGAGGCCATCAACAGGCATTAGGCACTAATTACAACAAATACTTTCAAAAGGGATGCAAATTATTGCATACCATTATTTATCCCCTAGTTAAATATAATCTTGCATTTTAAATAGAAATTCTCAAGGAAATAAATTACCATCATTCAGCTAAGGAAAATGTGATTAATAAAATAATCACATTTTATTGAAATTGGTAAAGATATCCTTTCACTTAATGAAAAAAATATTTAGTGCGTTGTTTGTGGATTGTTGTTTTGCAACATGAGCTTGAAGCAGTTGATAGACTCTGGTGCAGTGAGGGAACATGAAAAAAATGCTTTGGAAACGTAGTTGAAGAAATGCATCCATGAAACACATGCTTTGAATATTTATTTCAAGAAACGACATGGACTCTTTGCATTTCATTAGATAAGAAACCTTTTATGAATGCTAATATAGAAATAATATTTTGTTCTGTTTTGAAATAGAAAAATAAATGGTTTATCCATTTTCATTGCCCTATTAGTGATGTCCTGTTATCCAAGGTTCGAGATGTGATAGGGAGGTCATTATTCCACATTTTGGTAAATTGAAGTTACTGAAATGGCTTTGCACCTGAAGGGCTGGCAAATGGGTGAATTCAGGCAAAAAGAGATGTATGAGGAGTTCAGTAGCTTTGTGCTGACGCAGATGTCTGAGGGAGGTGTGGAAATCGGCAGGAAGGTGAAACAAGGACAGTTATTGGAGATAACCGCCAGCATACAAACCTAAATATGTCTTTTTGAGTAGAGAGTAAAAGAATTCCAAGTGAATTGCAGCTTAAATGGTTATGAAATGAAAATTCAAAACAGTATTTGAGGTGGGAGTGAAACCTTGTGCTTGTGTACCTACAGGAGGGTGCCAGTCTGCCCAAGCCCTGCTATACCCTTTGTCACAACAGGGTAAATGACTCCTATTCAGTGTCTGTAGCTGCAAAGCCAGACAAGTGCTGGAGCCAACACAGTTACAGAGGACCACCTACAAGGTGAGATCGTCACTCAGAAAAGCTGAAAGTCTCTGCAAAGATCATGCCACCACCTTTCTCAGTGTAATCAAAGTCCTCATAGTCACTTGGTGTGAAATGTTAATTTAGGGAAAGGTTCTATTTTTAATGCTGAACCTTTTGATTGGGAATGCAGTATGATTTGGAGTTTAAAATGATTTGAATTGCTACCTCTTACTGTGTATCACATGAGTATTAAAACCGACCTAAGAAGTTGAAAGATGTATGATTTCCCAGTAACGGTCATAATACGGGTTACAGCTAATACTAACTGAAAAAAAAACATCCTTTACCACTGTGTCTGTCTATCTATCAATAGAAAGATAATGTTTTATATGACTTTATCTTCTTGTCATTGCTGTAGGTTTTATTTTAAAATAATTTATATGAATGCACAAGGCCTGTCGTCCCTTTGGCAGGTTAATTCTTTACCCTCCACCCCCATCCAAAGGAGGGATTGCTGTCACCTCTGAGGATCTAGAATGCCTGGACAACGGAGAGTTTCTGAATGACGTCATAATCGACTTTTATCTCAAGTAAATACAACACTTTCCAAGAGCGTTCTTTTTCTGTGGTGCATCACTGACTTGATGACTCCACAGAAATATGTTTGATTCAGAGATCAGGTTAATTTGAATATTCTTATCTTCCTTTCATCTACACAGAAGCTGTTCTTTGAAAGTCGTTATCTTAAAACAACAAGTTTGCATGAATCAATTTGCCACCCTAGACGTCTTACAAAAAGAGTTGAAGCCTTTCAATAAGTGCATATGAAAATATATGTGAGGGTCAGTACAAAAATAATATTTTTTATTTTAACGATAATTAAGTAGAGCAAAAGGTATTGCCTTGGTTTTAACCCTTATACATCCAGTTTTAAGGGGATATATTGTATGTATTGTAGTTCAGGTGGGTAGCTGCGTCAGCATGCGTAGGCTGCAAAGGAACAAGTAATAGGTTTATTCCATGCTGAAAAAAAGAAGAAGAAAGAGAACACAACGTTTCGGCCGTGGAGCCTTCTTCAGGTGTGAGAGAGACAGGGCAGTAGGATAACATACATATTGTATGTATGTTATTTATCTGTGTTCTAGAACTACTACATCTTTTCACAGAATTGAAACTGGATTCATTTTTGCTGTTGTACTGTTTGTAACATCTTTGAGTTCGGGTGTGATTGCATATATTTCTTCCTTCTTGTCAGATATTTAATGCTTGAGAAGGCACCAAAAGAGGTGACAGGGCGTGCACACGTCTTTAGCAGTTTCTTCTACAAGCAGCTCACCCGGAAAGACACCCCCAATGAAGAGATGGCCAACATTTCGTAAGCAGCAGACCCCAACTTCTCAGCTTTGAGGAGCTGGTTTTTTTATATCAAGTGCTTGAGCTACTTCCTTGTACAGTTGCTCATAAATATGTGTATCTGCGTATTGCACAAGAATGCATATATAAAATGTATGTAAACATTGTTTAGCTAGGACATTGTAGGTGTAGGTAGGAGCATCTAACTTACTCACTAGAGAGCTGTTTGGTGATACCCTGAGATGGGCTAAAAGGGTAATTAAGAGACATGAGAGTCTGATGAACGTTCTCCTGCTGGCTGCTGGAAACATCTGGCTCTTTATTAAATTTGTATTTATCTTGGGACTCAGCAGGGAAAACCGTCAAATATTGTTGAAGGAATTTGTTTTCCCTGTTGTGTTCTTGGCTATCACTACCTCTTTAGTTTGAGTGTTTATTCTAATAGAAGTCAGTGGCATATGGTGAAAAGGTATACAGTTAATAACTGATTGCTTAAAAAAAACTTGGATTCTTTCAGAAAGGTGTGGAGATTGCTCTGATTGACTAACAGCTGAAACCACACTGGGAATACGTGGTATCAGTTTAGCCAATTTGCCCACTCATGTAGCTACCACACAGTCCACTATTGGCGCAGATGTAGGCAGACACCTGCACTGACATATAGCATACTAATATGCAGGATTTATAATACAAGTGTTTTAATATTTGATAAGTCATCATGTTTCATAGTTGTGAAATCAGATAGGTCATTTAAATTAAAGGATCGTTTGAAAAAAGCATGTGTATAATTGGAATTATATTATCTGTGGAGTTTTAAATGTGTTTAGGCCAGCCTGATCATATTTGATGTTTCTTTTCAGTAACATTGCTTTGACTTTCTTAGTCGTCTTTGCATTCAGTGTAAGAATCACTACTGCTGGCTGTAGTTCTGATGTTTGATGCAGTTCAGTTAATTGAAAGGGTAATCTTGATTGTAAATCACAAATCTGGTCTGCAGCTAATCCTCTTCCTTAAATGTACAGTTTAATTACAGGTATATACTGTTTTTCTCCAGGGCTCAGCACCGGAGACACCACAGAGTTAAGACTTGGACTCGGCATATTGACATCTTCACCAAAGATTTTTTGTTTGTGCCCGTCAATCAAAAGTAAGTATTTCTTCTTTGAAGCCGTGTACAGAGACAGTACATAATCTGTCAGTTGTGAGAGCTAAAATAGTATAGCATCCAGAATGGTGAATTTCAGCTCTGCTCCTCTATGTCATAGCTGGAAAGAGAACAGTTACATGTGTTTCTCCTTGTTCATTCTTAACATACAATGAAGAGGTGAAGCTGGAACCCTGTAGCACAATATCATCATTTTTATTTTGTTTTTCACATTTCCGTGAAATGTGTTCCATCTTACTTATTTATTTTATTTATTTATTATTTAGCTTGTTGATCTGGCTATCTCATCCAGCCCTTTTGTTCAGGATGAGAGGGAAGCTGCTTTAACAGAATAGCTTTTACAGAATATTTTCCAAGATCCTGTTCTACTATTGCTCTTAGGATAGTTCTCTAGGGTGTGTGATTTTAAATACTCAGGTAAGAATGTAATATATGACTACAGTTGCTAACATGTTTTGATACATTCCATCTCCATCAGTTTTCTTTGCACATTTATTAAGAATTGTATTAGTTGCTGATCTTCTTTTATGACATTTTGTCTCTTCTTATTGAATCCTTGTTCACTTCAGACAGTGGTAATTTGTGGTCAATCAATTAGTTTAAGACAGTGTGAATACTAATCTCTGTAAGGGGTAGTAAATAAAACCATCACAAACCTATACACATACATGCAAACCAGTGGCAATATTGATCTTGAAAACATTTGCAAAAACATGACAAACGGCCATTGTCTGGGTTTTGGGTTCGGTGTGCTGAGTTTCTGGTGCTGATGCTTTCAGGGCTCACTGGTACCTGGCTGTGATCTGCTTCCCTTGGCTAGAGGAGCTGCGACACGAGGGATGGAAAGGTCAGGCAGCCCACACGACTGGAGTGAACAGAACCTGCCGGGCCCGGACTGGGCCACATGCATCTGGGTCTCACAGGATAAACGGCTTCTCAAACACAGCCTCCGTGGAGGGCAGCAAAGACTGTGAAGAGGAAAAAGGTAGGAAGTCGACAGTTATTTTCTATTCCACTGTATTTGTTCATCAGCTGTGTCCATCACATGTTTTTAGGTTTGTCATGACCCCTGTCTTAACCTCTATAGAGATATATATATATAGGATACACATATAAGGTAAATACAGAAGACTGGGATACATAATGAATATACAAATATTTTTATTTACGAATTCCTAAATTATTAGTGTTGGAAAGAGCGGTAGTCTTGTATTGTACTGGATTGAGTGTAGTTGTTAACTTTGTAAATATAGACATGGCCTCATTTCTGCATAGTAAAGTTCTGTGTGTTCTGAAATCAGTGAATGGGATTTTTTTATTGGAGTATTAAAAGACTTCCAACAGCTGGATTCACTTGAATCTTTACTTTTTATTGTTCCTTTGGCGTGGCACATGTTCTTCCTGCGTTAAAGCTTGTAAAAGAGGTCGTTCTGTACTGTTCTGTAGGTATTGACAAAGAAACAGTGTTGAAAGAACAATATACACTAGGAATTAAGAAATGTTTTTTTTATGTTTAAAGATGGATAAGAATGACTCAATCAGTAAATTCTGTAATGGTTCTAACAATATTACATTTCTTGTTTTATATACAGTGAAAACATTGAGAACACAAAAAAGTCATTAAAAGTATAGATACCAGACAACTATTGCCAAATTAAAAGAGACAACTGAGATAAGTTTGGTATGAGTTATTTCCAGCCTGTTGATCTTTACATGTAGGATTTTTATAAGATATTGTTGCATGTTTCTGTTTTCACATTTATTATAGTTATCCCTTCAGATAAGTGTTATTTATTTTGTAGTCAGTTTTGTCTTGCATACTTCATTAGACATTTCAGACATATTTTTATAAAATGTTTCTCCTTTATTGTACTTAAAGATTGTCATAGACAGGTCCAGTCAGAAAATGTCTCTTGTAACAAGACAGCACTTATCACAAGTCACTTAAATTTGAAAGCTGGCTAGAATTTGGCACCAATGAGAAAAGACCATTTTTACTGGAGCAATGCGTTTCTTTCCCTGCTCGAAACTTGTCACTTACAGAGACCGAACTATTTCAGAAGCTATTAAAATATATGTTATTTATCTTGTATTTTCAAATAAAGATTGCAATATTCTAGATGTTCAAGGGAAAAGACGACCAAAATAATGCTGAGAGTCTTTGTTTCAGTATGTTAGTTAAGAAACAGATTATGGTAAAATTATTTTAAAAAGCTACCGGGAAATGTTATGATTTAATTTGACTGGCTAAATAAGGTTAGAATTCCCTAGCAACATTCAAAAAAGTTGTAGTTGTGAATTTATTTAGAAAGGCCTTATGTCTGAATCGTTTATCCATTAAAAAGCTTGTAACCAGAACATGAGTAAAGGCTTAAGCATAAACTTGAATCTGAAAACAAATAGTTTGTTTTTGTTGCTGACTTTTTGTTTTTGCAGGTAAAACAGAAATTTACAAAAGGGGATTGTCAGCTTCATGTTTGCAAAATCTTCACCGTCTTCCGGTAATGCTTAACCTCTGTGTGTTTAAGACTGTTATTTTAAGAATTTATAGTTCACATTAGTTTAATTCACTAATATTCCATATTATACTATTTATGAAAATATACTATAAACATAGTATTAAATAAATAACAATGCATTGAAACAGATAAGATTGTAAGTTAATTCTCATTTACAGTGTATCCTGTTTATTGGTTTAAAGGGTTACTGTTACTGCCAAATGGAAATAACAGTGAAGTAAATCTTCAAAAATTCCCTGTAAGGTATAATTATTGAAGGGACTAGATAAAATACTCTTGTGGTTTTGTGTTTTTCTGCCCTGTGATGAATTACAATTTTAAGAAACCCATTGTTTTGTGCTCTTGTCTGTTTTGTAGGAGTGTACGCAAAAGACCTGTCAAAGAGATAAAGTGTGTAGGAGGTGAGAAAAAAGGTTTACATCCTAATAATAAATTGAGATCATATATTGAGTACCAGTATAAGAGCCTCCTAATATTTTGTAATTATTGTAAGCTTTTGTTTTTGATTTTCAGTGGGAATGAATTAAAGATGCGATTCAAAATGTTCCCCACATCTAAATTAAACATCTTATTGTACATCTGAATTGTACAAACAACGGTCTTGTAACTGGTTGCTTAAATGTTTTTAATAACACTAAATTGACATAGAAGGTTTGCAAATTAGGTGAAAAACAGCAAACTAGTAACTAGTACAAGCAGGAATACCACTACAGTACATGCTAATGTTATTGAAAGAAATTTGTCAGACTTGATTACATTACAGTTGTATTTATATTCCATTTTAATTTCCACCATTTTGTTTTTTTTTGTTGGAATTTAATCCTTAATAGGAAAGGCAATGTGGAATGTGGTTATTTTTAGTGAATGTTTTATTTTTAGACGTGCTCTTCGATGTCTCAGAACTGCAAAAATGTCTCTTCTGCATTTATCATTTAGACCTTGCATTCTTATTATGGATTCTCTGAAGCTGTCGTCACACGATCGCACGGTGAAACTCTTGCAAGAGTGAGTACACTTCATGTTGTCCCAAAAAAGAAAAATTTGAAAAAAAAAGTTTTTAAACAATGTACATTCTCACTTTTTTTAGGAAAAACTCGGTGGGTTGTTGCTTGTTAATTAAGTCAGTTATTTTCTGTCTGTTCTCATGCTGCAGGAGCAGATTGACTTGCGTCTAAGATTATTTAATTTGTGTTGACAAGAATGATCTCTTCCAGCATCCTTGTCCTTACGTTTGTCCTGGAGAGCCTCAGTTCAGCAAGTCTTGTCAGTCCCCCATGTCTAGTGGTCTTTTCAGCAAGATTTAACAGAACTCTGGTCCTCTGGGGGTAGTTTCTGTTGTAGTGATTTCTAAATCCTAACGTTGATCCAGATCACAGTTAAATTGTTCTGTGTTTTTTTTAAACTAATGATTTAATGTCTGTCTATAAACCTTGCTGGATTAGGGTTCTCCAGGAGCTGAATTAGAGACCCCTGTCCTAAAATGGACCTGAATTAAATGCTTTGGTTCAGATTGTTGCTCTACATGAAAAGCAATAAAACATCAGTATGATGCATGTAAATGTGGAGGATGAGATTGGAACTTAATTAAATTGTTTTTGTTTTTACTTGAGATTTGGTGGCTCTTTCTCTGTTTGTTTACTGTGATCAACAAGATGATACAAGGTAGTCAATATTCAGCCTATCTAAAGCTGAGGAACTTTGTTGAAGCTGAGAATCTTTGTTCAAGATGTCATTGTTACATTTCCAAAGGGAGCGAATGCTACTTTAGTGCTTTTCTAGATTGAGATGTTCTTATTTATTAAGAAATATTCAGTCAGTCTTTCCATGTTCTAACAGTAGACCTTGAATATTGAATCAAGTCTGGTCATTTACTGCAGTGAATACACCTGTGTAGGTTTCCTTATTCCAGCTATTTGGGAAAGCTGAAAAGACAAGCGGTCCGGAGATGATTTTTCTTTTCTTCAGCTCCGTTGTGAACTCTATTCTGTGTCTGCTCTGTGTCAGGTACCTGCAGGTAGAGTGGGAGGTGAGGAGAGGCACGCCCAGGGAGTTCACCTCGCAGGTGGAGGGCTGCCACTGCAGCGTTCCCTTGCAGAACAACAGCAGCGACTGCGGCATTTACCTGCTTCAGTACGTGGAGAGCTTCCTCCAGGTAATCTCAGGCTTCACTGTGCGGAAGCTACCGCTAACTGATTAGTTAGAGCAAAACCCAACTTTTACTCGTCTTGGAGGAAGCTCTAATTTTATATGAAATACTTTCTAAGGGCTAGACAGCAGCTTCTTCAACTCATTCACTGCCTGCCAGGACAAAAGTTAGCCAATGTCTGAGTGCTCTGCACTATGCTTGGCGATTTTTGTTAGCAGAACACCCATGCTTTATGAATTGTAGATCTTATATCAAATCAGTTGTTGCAAGTGTTTACCATTTATATAAATATGCTGGAGCATTGAAATCTTTTATTTTCTTGTAACTCACATGATCGCTGGTAAAGGGATATGTCACAGTCTTATGAATTTAAATGATGGCATCTGTAGTGATGAAATGTGCAATTTTACTGAGCAGAAATTTTATTGCATGTGCAGTTCAGCTTTGTTACAACACTACTGCGGGGATCAATTATATAGCAACATGTGTGGCACAGGAAGTAGAAATGACTCCTGCAGTCCTGCAAAATCTTGCCCAGTGCATACACACCTGTCCACTAGTGTTGGCTTCTTACACTGTCATTTAAGTTTTCAAAAGTGGATTGACATCTGCTACTTGATTTTAATAATGTGAAATGCTGATAATAAACATTGTTTAAGAAAATTGTTTTGGTGGTCAGTATATCTAGCCCCTTTGAAAGTGGTGGTTGCAGTCAAGAATAAAATATTTTACCTATATTGAAACTGCATTTTTCACATTGCAATTTAAGTGGGCAGTTGCTAACTTTAAAAAGTTAGCTACATATTTGCAAAACAGAATGGAACATGCGGCACATAATGACTTCCATGAAGTTCTGAAAGCCACCCCGTGTGTCACATCAGTGTTAATCGAAGTCTGTACTTTTGCTCCCAGGATCCTGTAGTCCACTTTGATTTCCCTCTACTGCTGGAGCAGTGGTTTCCTCGCCAGGAGGTGAACAGGAAGCGGGATGAGATTAGAGACTTGGTACTGCAGCTGTACAGCCAGCAGAAGAACGGCAGCCAGTGACCTCTGCAGCAGACGCTCACACAGACAGAGCACAGGGCTACAAGGAAGCTACTGTGCAAATACAACCCAGTGCAAAACAGGAAAATACTGTGGCCTCCAATAAGCTTAAAGTGGAACCAAAATCAAACCTAAATGATCCCAAACTGCAGTTCAGAATGCTTTAACTTATTGTGTTAATATTGTACATATCAAACCATTTTTCTCACTGGATTTTCCTTTTAAACTCTTTTTTTTCTCAGCTAAAATGATTGTCTTCATTTTGTTTTAATGTTTTTGTTACATTTTAAGTTAAAAGGCGCTGTAGTCGTTTAAAATACGTCCTACATTTAAATAAAAATGTAGCTAAAATCCCAGTGGGTTCTTTGAAATGTGAAAGTTCTCATTCACTGGCTCATAATATACTGGGTGGAATTTGTACAATGGGAGCTATATGATGTGTGAATATGGAGTGTTTTTCTCATTGGTATTATAATTATTTTTCCTAAGGTAGGTTCCCTAGTGCTTCTATGACAATTCCCAGAAATACTGGTATAATTAGAAACTGATCTGAACAAAAGGAAGCTACCTAGTGATAAATGATAAGTGCCTAGGTATCCAGTCATGTAAATATACAGTAAGTTGACAGAGAAATGAAGTGCTGGTGCTGACTGAATTGACATAACCACTTATTTGCGTTGAATGTTAAGACGTACCAACCACTATTTCCATTGCCTGAGTATGTTTTAGATTCACTGTTATAAGAGATCCTACCTGCTGTCAATAAAATGGATGGTAGGTTTCTATCAATGAAGTTCATTTTTTAAATGTCCATAAAAAAATAGAAAAGCTTTTGAACTAAGCACTTCTGAAAATTCAGTAGGTCAGGATTTTAAAGTTGAGTTGAGAGGATCTTACTGTACAATGACCAGGGGTTAACAGTCCCTTTTAACAATTTGCCTGTGACTTTATAGAGTACAGTATATGCTCTGTATATTAATGCACAAAAATAGTTTTAACATTAATTTTAAATGAGTACATAAAAAAATCATTGGCACAAAGATTTCATCTGTGAAGTTCTTTGTGCTAAAGAACATCTCCCCATATCATCGAACTTCCAGCACCCCATCGGTTGGCTTGATCAACACAACACTCAACGTAACACTGCCCAGCGCATCTCTTCACATCTGCCAGGGGCACAGCATTCACCAGTGACCGGAACCACAAGAGTGTCAGCCACTTCAGGCACTGGGACTCTTGGGGAAGGGACTCAAACTGGAGCTACTGAGGCAAACTGTAGTGTTTTCTCTAGGATAATACGTATTGTTTTATAGTTTAAATTTTACATTCACTGCATGTAATGCCTAGAAGCATACCTTTTGGTGTTCTGGGAAGTAAAACAAAGTGAAATAAATACCAGTCCAAACGTGGAAAGACGTTCAGCCCTGTAGAGTTTACGTTGGTACGGAATTTGATGCACAACTTGGGGATTCGGATATTCTGTGAAATTGCTTAGGCATCGCTTGCTAACCGGACACAAAAAGCACAATCCTCAGATTGCATCCGTCTGCCAGTTTGAATTCCACCTCCTTCTGAGGCTGGCAGCTTCTTTGGATGGATTAATTCTGAGCTACAGCTGAAATGTACATTTTCACAAAAAAAAGATGAAAGTCTAGGTTGTGGTTTCTAAGGACGTTCTGTTTACTAACTTGAAGCAACCTACAGTATGAGTTGAATCTTTTAAGTAATGAACCTAAGAATACCCCTGATGATTTATCGGTTTCAGAATCTGAGCTTCGTAACAGTTCCTGCTGTTCCCCAGCTACGGCTTGCCAGTATATGGACAAGAGTGTGAATGGTCTTGGCCTTAATTGCTCCGCTTTCTAAAGAATAACCTCTTCTTATAGTAAAATAACCTTAAGAGGGAGTGAAACAGATCTGTTCTGGTTACCATGGTATATCGACAAACTTTTCTTGAGTCAAAGTGTGTATAAAAAAATCTTTAAAATGTGTCACTAATGAATGAAACAATGGAAGTCGGAAAAATTGCAGGATAACAGCACTGGTTTGTAAGGCTTGCAGATGGTAAAATTTACTTTCTCAGAGACCTGAAGTAGAAGGCTAATGTTATGTGTTAGCATTTGGTTGAACAGCCTTGGCTGTCAACAAAGATGAATCACAGAGAAGGAGCATATGGGGCCCAGTGAGAGGATTGGAGACAGATTTGCTGTTTTCCTCCCTCTCCAATCAAAAGGAATGTCAAACAAAGCATTTGTATCGGAGATAACAATATTAAGGCATTAGAGTTCATAAGATTACAACCCAGTACCCGCTGGCTGCGGTTGATCTCAAAATGCTGTGCAGAATTTTTACAAATTGTATCCACGGCTGCAGAAATGTTGTTTTTTCTCATTTTTAACTACAGGTCTGTTCAAATTTTTTAGTAAAACTCTTCTACAGGCAATATACCATGATATACTGTGAGGGAAGTGTTTGCAACAGCAATTTAAAACCATGCTAAAATATCCTTACAGCTTGGTAAGAACTTGAAAAACGTATGGTAAGGAGCTAGATTTGATCAATAAAATAGTGTACATGCACTACAAATATTGAAAGCAAGCAATAAACACTTACATAAATGCACTACTACCCTGAAATGTAACATTTAATAGAGAAATTTGTATTTTTTCTGTATATAGAGTGCCTTACAAAAGTTTTCAGACTCTTCCAATGGTGTCCCATTATGTGTGATTACAAAATCATAATCTACACAATATTGTGTTCAAAACCTGAATGTTCAAATTGAAGATTCCTAAGAAAAAGATACATTACAATAATAAGTCATCACAAGCTACAGTGGAAAAACTGCAAAATGTTGTTTGGATGAGCATTCAGATCCATGATTTCAGTATTTTGGTAGAAGCAGTCTTTTTGGGTGAATCTGTACCAACCTTTCACGCCAGCTTGGTATCGTGGATGTCCATTCCTCTTGGCAGGTTTGCTCAAGCTCTCTCAAATTGTTTGTCTCAATAGGATTCACGTCAGGACTTTGACTGAACCACAGACATTCCCCTTCTTTTCCTTATGCCAGTTCCTGAGGTAAGATCAACTCGAGCATAGCTTGGGCCTTGTGATTCAGATCATTCTCCTACTGAAAGGGAATTTTCTGTCCCTAGCACATTTTCTGGTAAGGTTTGAAAATAATTTGACTCCACCTATTTTCCCCAAGCTTCTCATTTCCTGCTGATGCGAAGCTCAACTATAACTTACTGCTGCCTTTGCCATGCTTGACAACAGGGCTGGTGTTGTCTAAGTAATGCGCTTTGTCAGGTTCGCATCAGACGTAACACTTAGCATTTAGACCAAAAAGGTCATATTTTGTCTCTTGTGACCAGAACGTTTTCTCACGTTCGTCATGCAGTATCGTAGGTGTTTCCTTGCGATCCCGGTGCTGGATATGAGATTTTCTTTTGAGTTCGACACAAGCCCCCATTGTGTGACTGGGATGTTGTTGACTCGTGGACATTTTCTCACATCTCGACCACAGAACTATGTAACTCTTTCAAAGTCATTGTTGGCCTCATGGTGGCATACCTAAACAGTTTCTTCCTTTGCAGGCTGTTCAGTTTGAAGATACAGCCTGATCTAGGCTGTGTTTGGGTGCCTTCCATATAATAATTGACTTAACCATGCTCAAAGAGATCGTAAGGGTCTTTGAAATGGTTTTATACCCTTCTCCTCACATGTTCTTTTATGCAAATATATCCCTGAGTTGTTTTGAAAGATCCGTGGTCTTCATGACATTATCATTTCTTCAAATTCACTACCTGACTTAGAAACTTTACAGAGACAGTTGAATGTATTCTGAAATCATGTAATCTACTGTAATTCTAAATAATGTATTCCATACAGAGACCACTCTACTAAATGTGTGCTGCCTTAGATAATTTTGTGTTCCTATATTAATTTAGGTTTGTCACAGCAAAGGATTTAAATACTAATGCAATCACCACTTTTCCATTTCTCTTTCATATTCATCTCTTTACTTTGTTCTTGTTGTTTTTTACTTGGAATGTTTGGAAAAGGTTCTACAATGCACACAAATATTCATTCTATTTCAACTCATTATTAGTGCAATCCCTAAAGTTGAGAGCATCTTGGCCCTAAAAAATGCATCACAACCTGATCTTTTTAAATTGGAAGAGTTAATTGCTTATCACCTATTAAACATGCCACCAGAGAAATTATTCCTGACTTTGAATTGCAGCCTTCATATTTGTTTAAAACCACACCAAAAAAACACATGCATGGAATTAAAAACTTACTAAACGCTATGTCTAGAAGAGCTTCCTATGAAGAAAACATCATTTCATATTTGAAAAGTTTATATTCCTGTGATATTCATTGTGAGATTTCTGCCCTTTTTCAACCTGCACGTTGGATAAAAACAGGAGAGCCTAGCAATTTTTCACTACTGGAAAAAGATAAATTTATGTCAAAATAGTGCAGACTACCAGGACTACCTTGAAATATTTTATAGTGTGGTGTGGAGAATTATCAAGGATAATATCCATTAAATTCTTCAGGAATGGCCCCTGCTAGCATTGTTTTACGTTACAGTGACATGGTTAATCTGCTCTCTGAGCTGTACCGTAAGATTAGTCTTCTTACAATCTTAATGAAGATAAGATTGCTCCTCCTCGGCCTCTTGTTAATCCCCAGCCATCTAATTGTTCACAATGGCCACTGGACCCCTGGGCATTAGGAGAATGCTTGAAAAGGGGATCCTGAAGAAAGGTGTCTTGCAAAACCTGGTCACCATCCCCCATAACTTCATTATATTTGTAAAGAAATACAAAACAGCTTCTTTGTTCCAAATTCATCTTCCAAAGTTCTAAAACATCTGATCACACCATTAAAAAGGCTGCTACCACTAACGGCAGCAGAGATCTGGATATTCTTAAGAAACAAGTACACGATGTGTAATCACCACTTCATTTTGGCAAAGAGCTTGGCTACTATTGGAAAATACAGTGAAAGAAGAAGAATCGCCAGGCTTTAATGAGAGCTACTCAGAAGTATGTACATTCTTGGCTCCTAAACTGAGCTGTTTCAAGTCCATGTGAAAAATATAGAGCAACTAGTAATTATTCTGATTTCCCTTTATCGTCAAATACTCTAGTTCAACTTTTTTAAACATTGACTTTGGGCAAATACACTCATCTGAAATGATACTGACTTGAACCTTCACTGTTGACTTAAACGCAGAAGCAGGCAGACTTTAATTCAAAATGGGCTAGATGATCCGAATAGCCTCATCTGATTTGTAACTGTTTTATGTTTTTAACTTCACTGATATTTAGCTGTAAAAGATCAAAGTACTGTAACAATGTGCATGGCAGCTTGTAATTTGTTTGACTATCTGAGAATAAGACAAAGACACTAAAATTCTCAGGGACAATTTCCCTATAATTGTAAGTGACATTATACAGCGAAAGGACCAGTTTTGGTATTCGTTCAAACTTATAAGTGACAGGTTGTTTTTAATTCTTATATACACAGTTTTATGTTTCTGTTAGTAATTTATTTTTTAGCATAGGTTTAAACGAAGAACATAAATTCTGTTGTTTATTGAAGGCATAACCTTCAATAAAAAGCATATTTGCTTTACAAACCAGTAAAAGTTCACTGTGTTTTTATTACTGAAGGCACTGGGTTAAGGTGCATATAACCTTCGTCATGGCGAAGGCCACTGGATGTCTTTAAGTGCAAAGTTCTTACTTTTAAAAGCTAAATGGCCTGTAAAACCATAGCAAGTCAATGGGCTTTCACGGGCGTGTCTCTTTGAAACTCACGTCAAAACTGTACAATGTAATTTGACATTTTGAGAATGTTACTTCCTGACTGAGAGGTGCTGTTGTCTCTAATGTCAGGGTAATCCATTCATAGACTTCTGGGAAACGTTGACCCATGAAAATGGTACAATACAGACAATAACTATGAAGAACTGGATTAGTTAAGAACTAAGTTGGTCTGAAAGCCTTTAGATACAGCAGCTGTCTGGTAGAGGTGTATTTCTGGTAAGGAACACAGCAAAGAGGACCATTCAGTCACCCCTCAGCCTGCTTACTAGGGTGTTGCAGCTGCTTCTCTGTCTGTCCAACTCTTCACGCTTTGTCCAGCTGAACAGCCAGTCTCCAGAGACATGTTCCTCACAGGGTGCCAATATTTTGCATGGGGGAAATAATAATTTTCCCGAGCACCGGAAAGTGTCGGACCACTCGTTTTTTTATGTCTCAATTTTGTCTTCACTCCGCAGAGCCCTGCGCTTGCTGAACTCATGAATCATGTGAGATATGTGAATGAGCCCCAGGTACAAGAACAGGCTGGATTCTGTCATGGTGTAGAGGTCCACGTATATAAAAAATAAAGTCAAAAACCAAATCTCGCACCAAAACGGCATGACCAATGGGTTATATCTGAGTTAATATTTGATACTTTTTCACAAATATACTCAAATATATGTAAGAGCCAGGCTAGAATCAAGGACAAAGCTCGTCTCTCGCCACATGTCATTTTTTTCCCTTTGCTGCAAGCCACTTGAGCAGATTTCCAATGGGACTTAATACTATTAGTTGTGGCTACTGGGGTCAGATAAGGGTCTGCCATATTAATCCTGCTTTATGCAACGCGTTAACCATACATATTGCTCTTTTTAACACACGAGCTGAATATATAACATTCACATAATTTGCAACCACCTCATACCAATATAATGGCGTAGTATTCTTTTGAGACCGATAACAAGCGTGTTTAATGTGGCTTGCTCAGATCCTACACATGAGATTGCACTGCGAAAAATCAACTGTTTATTTTACTGTGAAATAACGATTTGCTCTTCGAAACAAAGTCCCGCTAGGTCACCGTTATTAGGTCAACTGTAATTACAACGAGACTGACTGCTTTACCAATTTCTGAGTCGACAGTAAGTCAGTAACTTACATAACTAATTACATGTTCACTAATTACCTAACAGCCGATCCATTTCCTTTTTTCACCCAACTGTAGCAGGAGATAAACGAAGCTGTTTCCTGAAGAGGATTCCAAACAATATTTTTTGGTTTTGCTTTTGAAAGAGTAAATAAATCCTATAAATGATGCTAATACCATCACATTCTCTTGAAAATAATTTTGAACATTTCTTTCTTACAACAAATTCGAAGATTCATAACATGATATCTACAGTGTAGTTCACACTCTGCAGATACTCGTGATGTCTTGAATTTCAAACTGCTTTTATTGTTTCATCCATCATCTAGGCAGGGCAACTTTATAATCATTGGTTTGATGCATTTGAAATGTATTATTATTATTTAAATTAAAACTGGCAAAACGATGGAGCATCAAAGACATACTCTCTTATGGCAAAGAGTAGTCCCCACCTTGTCTTCACTGAGATAACGTACTTCTGATATAGCAGTGTAAATTGACCGTGTGCGTATGGGTTTGTGTGTAGACTGTTTTTGATGTGACTGGAACGCATGAAAATGTAGTCTGAATTCACACAAGCAGTACTTTCAGAACTCGATGAGTGGAATTGTAAGCGACCTTGTACAGTCTTACTAACTGCATGACGAGCTGCTCTAAAGGGTTTAGCAAATAGGATTAAAGTGCAAAAAAGATCTGGACAAGTCCCCATCTGCTTACCTGGACGCGGAGCTGTCTTCAGCACCTCCCTAGTTAAATTGCTTTTACCATCCATCTGGGGGAAACATCCTCCAATCAGGAAAACTATCTGGACTCTGGGCCTTAGCACGTTTGTGATCTGTGTGCGCATATTACCAAGCTGGGATCCGATATGAAAATAATTTCAATTGTGTTCTAAAAGTTCGAAACTAAAAATACAGAACTAAAAATGTTGGGTTTGTCTTGGAAATATTTCCTGTGCTTTCTTGTTTTCACATCTATGAAAGGACGTCTAGAAATAAGTACAGGTATATGTCTGTATGTCTCTGTGTGTTGTGTTTCTGTTTCTGATTTATTCTGTGTCTGATTTATTTTGGCGTTCTAACGTAGTCGTGGGTCAGCAAATTAAGACACCAATTTACTCTCGTTTCAGTTTCCAGTCCAGTGGTTGATACCGAAGGGTTACAGTCACAAAGTGGACAAGACAAGACTTGGAGGAATGAAAGGATTTTATTTAGTCAATCGTTTTTTCAAAGAACCGTTCCATCACCTGTCTTTAAAACTCTAGACGAGCATAAAGGAGCGATTCCTAGAAGAAAACGCAACGTGTTGTTCCCCAGTGGAGTTAAAGTTTGTCCGCAGGAGACGATTCAACAAGCGATCGCAAATCATTTGAAGTACTTCAGTCTGCGAGGTAAGATGGATATCCTAATTATTATATATGCCTTCAGTGAATCCACGATTTGGTAATGCACACTTTAATTACGTAAAACTGTGTACTGGACGTGCGGGACACCAAACTGTATGTGTGTAGTGTGAAATTAACGTTTGTTCATTGTTTATAGTTTTAATAATAATAAAAAGTAAAACATAACGACATTTTTTTTTACCAAAAAAGATCGGTCTGATGACTTGGTAATTAAACTATACTGTAACGAAGAAGAAAGGAAGAGGCACCCTATTTATGTCGTATAAAACAGTAAAAGTAGAATAAAATGTAGCAGGGCACAGTTAAATCATAGTAAAGCATAGTATGATAAAGCAGAGAAATATAGTAAAATATTATATAAATCGCTCAGAGCAGGGCAAAGCAAAATAAATTCACAGTAGAAGCACGACAAAAGTACGGGGAACAAAAAACTCAAACTGAAATCTTTTCATAAATCCAGTTACAATACAATGATGTCAACCAAATCCCTTTAAGAACATTAAGTACAAACAAAAGGTTGAATTTCTGACCTGCACAGATAATGTGATTGTTGTTCTAAACTGAACCAGTGTAATAAAGGAATGATGAGAACACTGGGACTGCGAGTGGACACTGATGAGCTACGTACTGGGAGCAGCTGGGGCACAAAATCCTACCTAAAGTGTGAGCACAGACTGGGGGCTCCAGAGCCCCAGAGTTTCTCATCTCCTGAAGCCAGTCTTGGCACAGGTTTCACTCACTGGGGGATGGAACATGTGCCCCAAAAAACTAACAAAATAAAAGCTTCTCTTGAGTATGTTCAGCACATCACAGAACATGTGCTGGGGGTCAGGCTGTGCCCGGACTGAGTGTCGTCTGTCATTTAGTACCATAATGAACATCATTCTTAGCTTGGCTAAATGCAACAAATACATTGCATTGTTGACATGATTAAAAAAAATCTTTACTTCTTTAATACCATTTTGCTCAATTACGCTGTAGAGGCTCCTACTCAAAGCAAAAAAGTATTGTGGTTTTATATCCCGTTTAAAGATGGTGAATTATACTTTGTAAGAGAAATAGACATGGTATTTCATCTACTTAATAATAGCTCAATGGCTGCTAAGATATAGATATTTATATCCATAAATGTATGTTTTCATCTGTGCTATACTTGAGGTCTTTTCTACAACAAGCAACGAGCACAATTTTATGACCATTATTTTTTATAGTTTTCATTTCTGGCTGCGCACTGATTTTAATCTGTTTGTTTTGTCTTGTTCTGCGAGTCCCCACAAAAGTGCTTGACTATGTCCATTCATATTATGTAATTACTCAGGTGAAGCATTGCAGGACGTTTCCTCGTTTTAAAAAAAATATTGCAGTGTGTTTCCTCTTTTTAATTTCACTGACTGGCCAAGTGGAAAGCCTTCATTCATTCCAAGACGTTCCCCTTTTTGGATTTCTGTCACGTTTCGTTGTCTGAGCCTAGCTTCAATAAGAAACTTAAATAAAGTTGTCATTTTGGAGAACTTGTTGGAAACAACTTGAGGAAATGTGGGAGCTCACGACATACTGCCTCAACATCAAGATAAGAAGTTTTGTTAGTACAACTGTGTAGTGGAAGCTGGAAAGTAAGAGCTATGACACACATGCCACGTGTTTTTCTATAGATTAAGACTGAATCCAGCTCAAAGTGTAATGTCCTCAAATTGAATCTCTTCACTACTCTAAATAGCAGGGCTGGTCATGAAGCATGAGATGAAACATTGTGCCACATGAATATGTAAACCTTCCACAATATCCATTCAATTTTGAGGTAGAAAATCCCACGCCAATTTTTTTTTCAGGCCTGTCTGAACCTTTCAGGCCTGTGAACCTTCTTCTTTGCATGGAATACATAAATGGTGATGCTGCATAGCCAAATTTTATCCAGGAGATAACTATACAGTAAATAGATCAATAACCTTTTGTGTATCAGATGCATAATGATGCCTAGAGCAAAAGTTTTGTTTTAAAACTATCTTCCTGGAATTATGGTTCCAACTTTGTCTATCTGAGAGTCAGACTCACCGACACTGAAATAGCACAACTGCTGCTTTTATCTTTATTTTATACTTTAATAGTTTTGTTGCTAAAAGCTGAGAAAAAAACTGTCTAGTTTTATCCTTGTAAATACAAGTAATCAAACGCAGAACTATGAAAATCTTTCAGCTCATACATGTCCCTGGTATTGTGTTAAGTTTTTACTGGCCCAAAAAAGTATAATCAATTTTGATTTTATTAAATGAAACAAAATAATTCAAAATGAAATACTGACATTGTCACAGATGTTTTCAATTTGACAAATGTTTTAAAAATTCATTTCTAAATTTTGCAATCCGTACTCTTCATTTTTTCTTTTTCATATTAAACTTTATAAAATCAAGAACTTAACATTTTCCACGGTACAGTACGTAAATGCAGCAATGTAAATGTCTGTTGTATGTAATCACTGCCCATTTAGCTGACACAAACCTTTGGTGTTGAATTGACCCATCATAGATGATAGAATTGCAGCTCATTCCGGTCACAGATCCTTTCTTAATAAGTCTAATGACTTGTGTTTAGTGACATCCTTTTGCAATGATAGTGGCTATCCCACCCAGAGACACGTTAATTCATAGTAACTGTCCAGAGTGTGGCTTGTGTCACATGACTTGTGGTTCCTTGTCTTTGCATTGACCATTGAATATTGACAGCTGAAGGATCTTCAGATCTCAAGATTCTCAAGACAGAAAGAAATCAATGTCAGTGTCAATGTTCAGATTTTGGCAGCGATGTTTATGAATGATTGTGTAACAGTTAACACTGTCCATGTAACAAAAATTGAGAGTCAGGCTATGCCAGTTATACTATGGTCTTGGCTATAAACATCATTATATCATGTGTAACTCAATCTTGTATAAAAGCACTTTTCCTTTAGCTGTTAATTTTCAGTGTTAATGTTACAAACGTTTGTGAGTCAACAGCTTAATTGAGTTTTTGCAAAAAAGCTCTGCTAATGTGAGGAGGAAATTTTGAAAGATAGTTCATTAAAATATTTTCTGAGATTCTGCAATAAATTAACATTGTGTGTTAATTTCAGCTCAGCAATGCCACTTTTCTGTGGTGACACACAATAACATTTTCCAAGAGACAGAAGATAATGCAAAAGAAATATAAGGAGATAGTAACGAGTCAGAAAGAGAAACAATCCAAACGGAACTTTAGATCTAAATGGATTAAACCACTACATTTCCAAGATGTTGTTTTATTTACATTTGTGAAATATGTTATGCCAAGGATCAAAATAAACTTTTCATTCTGTTTATACTTGTATGGCTAAAAAACAAAGTGTGTAGATTTTTGTTATTTATTAGATGTTGAAGTTTCATTTAATCCACTTTGCTTAATTGATGATTCATGACTGACAGTGATACCCATGACTAATGATGACTGTACGGCTGTCGCTTAATCAGTGGGAGAGTTGATTGGTGAAAAGAAAGAAAGAAAACCCAAAAGAAACCAATATACCTTGCCTATCAAGAGAACAGCTTCATGTCATCAGTGCAGTCAGAGCCATCCTCAGTGGGGGTGTCAGGAATTTCTAACCTGGCATGATGATATAGTCACAAACATAGTCCAATAATCATAGATTAGGATCAATCAATCAATCGAGGTTTATTTATCAATGCACAAACAGTACTGCATACAGCAATGAAATGCTTTATCCGCGAGCTGGTTAAGAGGGATAGAAGAGTAGAAGGACAGAAGCGTATAGGGATTAGGTTAAGGTTGCTGTACAATAAATTATACAATTTATATACAATTGCTATTTACAATACAATTACAGATTGTGTGATCACTTCACCAGGTGAGTCACAGCATCTCACCTAGACTGTATAGGGAGACCAAAGTGTCATGATCTGGCTGGAGTGTCTACTCACTTCAGAACTACCCTTGGGATCTTGGAACCTCACCTACCCCTACTGCAAGCTTATCCTACCCTGACAATATACAAGATAGACAGTGCATCTCCTTATGCTGTCCGTGTGACAACTTTCCTGTGAGAGGAGATGTTAAAGTTATTGTCCGGGTTGCAATACCGACCTGCAAGAGTCGGGTCTCATGAGCATTTGTGGGATGAGCTGGGATGATCAGAGATCAGAGATGGGCTCAGAGACCAGCGAACAGACACGAGTTTATCTATGATCTGTGACAGAAAGGAGAAAAAATTCCACAAGATCTGACACCTGATACAAAGCATGTGTTGCAGGTGGACAGTTTGACTTGCTTCCAAGAGTGTCCAAATGTTAATCTACAACATACAGTGAATATCCTGTATATTCAGTAAAAGCTGTTACAAAAAGATTTTACCATTAATCCAGATTATAACTTTGTGAACTTCTTGCAGATACAAGAACCACATTTCTTTTGATGTTAAATGTATTTAAATGTATTTTAAATAGGGTAGCAAGGTGCCATAACAAGGTGGTTGGCACCTTGATGCCTCTCTTGTGTCCCTGGGGCCCTGGGATGAATTCCTGGCGTGCTATCTGTGTGGTTTGTGTGGTCTCCCCATATTTACATGGGTTTCCTGCTGGTGCTCCAGTTTCTTCCCACAGTCCAAAGACATGCTGGGAGGTTAATTGGCTTCTAGGAAACGTGGCTCTGGTGTGAGTGTGTGCGTGTCTGTGTGTACCCTGCAATGGACTGGTGGCTCCTTCAGGGTGTACCCCACCTTGTGCCCATTGCTTGTCAGAAATACCTCTGGCCCCCCTGCTGCCCTGTATCGGATAAAGGTTAGAGATTGGATGGATGAATATATACAAATTTATTTCAGATGCACAAAATGTGCAACTTTATTGACTTAACCGCCCAGTGCTGAATGCTTTTCCTGTTGTTTAGTGTGCCAAGAAACAATCTGGGAGGCATTTAAGATCTTTTGGGATCGCCTTCCTGACCGAGAGGAGTATGTGGGCTGGATGAAGCTCTGTCGGGAAGGAACCATGAGCGTTTTGGAAATCGGCAGAAACTTCAGCCAGTCAGATGAGCATCACCTCCTGGTACAGAATGTAAGTGATGTCACCATGGAGCTGTCACAGACTTCCTGGCCAGACCACTTATGGGTCAACAGCTAACATTATGTACTTGTTTGTTTAGCAACCACGGGTAAGAAATTAGAAAAGAAAATGTAGTCAATAAGGAAAATGCCCTTGTGTTTATTTTATTAAATACAAAATATTTATGAACATTAAGAGCCTAAAGCTAAACTCAGTGGCTTTTGACAACTTTTTAATGTTGTGATAAGTTTGACTCATTAAGTTCTGCCAAGATATAAAGGGTTTTTTTCTGAAGTGAGCTGCCACACTTTTGGCTAAACTGGCTACTGAGCTCGTATTTTCCATGCTCAGAGGGGCTCAGACTTAGGCAGGAAAAATCCAAGTCAATTAGTTCGCAATATCGTATGATCTCCTTGGTGAAACAGTGAAAGGGCAAGAATGTTTCGGCTTTCCTGTGAAAAAGGCCAAGTACAACATTTAAAAGAAATAGACTTTTGACCCTGGTATTACATTACTATCCGTTTTTGTTTTAAAATGCATTTAAAACAATCTACTGATGTAAAAATAAATATACCAAACAGTTTCTAGCAAAGTTAGGAATGTTTGCTGACAGGTATAAACAGTGTGATTTCTTGGGCACAAATTAAAAGGTGTAGTAATTGTGGACAGCAATAATTTAGCATGAAGAATATCATGTTTTCTCTTTTTCAGAGAATATCCCTGGCATCACTGAAAAGGTAAGCATAAAATTCTTTGAAATATTTAGATCGATTGGATTCTTTTTGAGAAGAAGGCGAGTTAAAGTTATGAGCAATGTTCCCTGGAAGCTGTGCGTGTGCGCGTGCACACAGGTCATGAAATCAGCACGCATAAGAAATTGAACTACGCACAAAAAATTAAATTCCCCCCAAAGTATGATAATTATAAAACAAAAGAGGTCGTCAATTGAAAAATGCTATATTGACCATACGAGACTGGCTGGGAGAGGCCCAACTTGGCTGTGGGCATTATTATTGCTACTTGATCATCGATATCTATGCTCTTGTAGTCTCATACCTCCCTGCACCTGCTCGCTCCACACGCAGTCTCTATGACTGGGCTTGTGGAATCGTTGTCCCGGTCTTTTGGACCACTATGCTTCTATGAGAATGACTATATTAACAAAATAATTTCAGTTTGTATAGTTTTACATACACTCAATTTAGTGCGCACACGTTTTTGTCACTGGGGAAAAAAATAAAATTAGAGGGAACATTGGTTCTGAGGCTAGATTAATCTCCAATCTTCACATGTAGCACTCAAGCATGTGTGCTGATTAATGATTATTGCTGAAGCCTATATACCAGAATAAGGAAATGTAATCACAATTATGATTTTTATGCTACATAAGCATAGACAAAATATAACAAGTAGAATATTAAAATAGGATATGATTCAATGAAACTCATCTTTCAGACATTTCAATGTCAGGATGAAACAACTCAACAACAGCTTCTGTCTCATTCTAGCTTTTAATAGCCTTTTATATCAAGCAAATGTGGGCATTAGAGAATAGAAAAATGTTAATTCTCTTGTGAACAAATGCGTTTATAATCCTTGCTGTTTCTGCTGTCCTTATGCAATCTCCAGTGAACCCACCAACTCATGGCTGCACTTGTGCAGGTAGGAACAATAAGGCACACAGAGCTTTAGCAGATCTGCTTTTCTGTATAGAATCTTAAGAGACACCCACCTCTTAAAGCTGCAGAAGGCTTCTGTAGTGTGGCAGAGTTGTAGTTACAGTGGGATCCTTCTATGGTAGAATACTCACCCATCTTCCATTGATCAACCATTAGGGGCTGTAAGAAAGAACAGCAGGCAAGCTGAGGACAGACTGTGGAAAGTTCTGTGTGTGGAAGTTGTTGGAAACAGTCTCACTGTAGTAGTTTTGACACTCAGGACAGACTGGAGAAACAGATTAAAAGTCTATGCCAGGGTTGGGGAACTACTATTCTAAGGCTCAGCATTTATAGTTTGATGTACTCACAACAAGAAAAAAACCTCAAAAAGCTTTAAAAAGAACTAACATAGTATAATTAAAGCTTCCTTCTAAAAACATTTGTTAATTCTGTAAAACAGCTTTGATTTGCATTGATTGTGATTTGCGTTTATTGTGTGGTTTGGTTATGGAATGGATAAAGCACTGATACAATATATGGTAAACTTTAGGTATTGTAAAACAAGTTAAAACTCACGTGATAGAATATGTTTTCAAGCTCTGATATGAAAAAGTAAGAAAGTAGATGACAGTTTAAGACTGGCTGACTTTTTTATAACCTATGCATCCTGAATGACAGCATTTCTCCTTTTCAGCTCACACACAACAGCAGCTCCTGCAGAACCTGACATCATCACAACAAGCAGAGGTCTGTGTTACGTCTTTCTGTTTGCACAGGATGGTTTAGTGCAGCTGGGTCTTCCATGGAGACAGGATGTGGGCAGAAAGAAAGAAAACATTCCAGAACCTTTTTGTTTGTTTTATGACCCACGATGCACATGTTAGAACAATGTGAAGAAGGATGTCATCCCTGTGTTTTTTACTGTTTACCCTCCCTCGCCTTAGTTCATAGGCACAGAACTCCAGTCCCTGAGGCCCTAAATCCTGCAGGTTTTCTAGGTCTCTTTAAATCACCAGCAATTGAAGACTTCTGAGAAGTGTTAAACCAGTCCTGTTAAGCTACTGATCAGTTCAATTAGGTGAATAGGAGCTGAAGAGGCATAAAAGCCCACAGGCACTGCAGCCCTCAGTGACTGCAGTTGTGCACCACTTCTTCATCCTAAATCCCTAATGGTCCCTCACCATAACATTATGACACTATGACTGTGTCTCCGCATCTAACCAATTCCGATATAAGCCATATTCTGTTTGCTTATCCTTCCTAAACCATGTTGCAAACATTATTATATCTCATTCACAATAGGAATATGGGTCTATGCCTTTTATGGTCTTAGTTTCATGGACGAGTCATCACTGTCACCTTCTCATGTGATTTTCTGATTGGCGGCACAAATGACCAGTACTCATCTCTGAGTCCTTGCACGCTCAGGTCAGGTGGTCCAGTCCTGGCTGTTTGCATGTAGACTAAAGTATGTTATGATTGCCTGGTGGTCTTGCATTTTCATTAAGACGGTGTATTGTTAATATGATGCCATATCTGACCCTGGATTGCTTACCACAAACATTCTGAAAGCTCCCTTTTCTCTTTGAAGCACGACCAAGTTATTCCAAAGTACTGTAAATGCTCACGTGGTTTGGCTGCCATCTTGTTTTTACCATATAAAAGACTTCTCAAACCAAGAGGCTGGATACAACACAAACATGAGCTCTTTTGCTTTAGTAGGCTTATTTACAAAAATGGCTTTGCCATGACCACAGACCACTAGCCATATGCAAAGGGATTTGATTATATTGAAACAAGTGCAGGGAGCCATATTTGCTCTGTCAAAAAATGCCCAACCTTTGACCTCCTCCTGCAAAACGCAAATGTTAAACATTCTAAAAAACAAAAATGAGTCACTTTGCTTTTGGTGACCAATGCTGTCATCTTGAAGCTATGTTTATCATTATTATTGTAGGAAAAGGTAAACCAGACCTTTACCCATTAGAGGCAGGTGTGAGTTATAGGATCTTTTGAAGAGTATTTGAGAGCTCTTCTCTGCAGGGATCATATCCTAACTGGACTTCTCTCTCTGGTGCTGCTGGATTGTCTGGTTCTCAGCACATATGTCACATTTAAAATAGTTCTTAATCCGGATTAGATACACTTCGGCTGTTGATGCTACATGACTAACCTCCTGAGAAAGGGTCAGTCCTTCTAAGGTTTGATTCCGGTTTGATTCCTTCTAAGCAGTGACAATTATGAGACACAGCTCTGTGAGGTCAACTCTGAGTGAACTCTGAGAGCATGAGTTACAGACAGATAAAGGAAATACAAAAGCTTCCTAGCAGGTCAAGCCAATAGTTGCAGTTGTACTTTGCCTCAAAAATACTTTGAAGTAACCCCACACCCCCATATTTTCTCCATTTTCCCATTAGTCTTACACTTCATTAGCTGCTGTATAAACATGATCTGCTCTATTTTTATACTTGGAAATTTGGACGGATCATTTTCTAAAACACTTTTTCTGATTAGTTGAGTTAATTTCTACTGGAACATTACCAAGTATTTTGTTTTTATGTTTCCCAGGTTATGGCTTTCAAACCACTTATGTCTGTTTACATTCTGAACATCAGAGGGAATTTTGTACTCTGTGCATGTCCAGTATGTTTCTTTCCATTCGGACTCAAAAGTTATTTTTATTATACCCACCCTACTTTTAGTCATCTTTTATGATGTTTTCTCACTTCTTGGCTCAAACCTATGATCCTCTCGACCACACAGGAAAGACTGAGGAAGTGTGAGTAGGTTCCTCCAAGCTGACCAACCTTCTTAACACATCACAGGCACCACAGCCCCATACGTTTTTTAATATAGATATAGGGATAGATCACTTCTGATGGATGTCACTGAGTGTGATGTAGAATAGTACACTAACTGTTGTGTCCATAAAATGTGTAATAAAAAATAAAAAGTTTATTGTGATGCTCAGTCGGTAGATAAAGATTAAAAATATATGATAAAAAAACTATGAAAACATTTAGTACATGATTATGTAGTCTTTGTTTTCTATTTGAAACTGCTTAAAAGGATCATGAGTTTGTTGTTGAACAAAAGCATTTCATGCCAAGCTTTCCTATTTACATGTGGCAAGTGTGCATCTAACTTTCTATAGTGAGACAAGCGAGGAACCTCACTTGGAAACAGCTGTGCTTTTTAAATCAGAGCCCCTCAGATCTTATGCCAGGATATGCTGTAGACCTGGTGCTCTATACACCAGCACTTTCCTCTAAATAAGAAACACTCTTCTCTCCTTGGAATCAATACAAAACTACTAATTTCTCCTGACTGTCGGCCCATTCCTTACCCTTCTGTCTTTGCAGATGAGACTGCCAGCGTCTCCCAGTCACACATGGTCACTGTGCATGTCACTCCTGCTGGTGAGGACAGTGAGAATGAGGAAACAGAAGGCAGTGTAAGTGGGGATGTGGTTGACCTCCTATATTGGTTCAATTCCTCAGTATGCTCCATGGTGTCATTCATGGAAGATGTAATGCAAAAATAATCTATCGGATCTTATCCAAAAATTGTTGTTCCTTATTAGTAATTTGCAGCTGTACATCTAAACTTCTGAAGTACAAAGGTGAACAGAAACAGGAGTTGTTGCGAGAATATTCTGACGCATAAAAGAAAAGCCACTCTCAAGTCTAATGCTTTTAAATAAAATCACAGAATATATGACCAAAAATACTAATCAAAGAGTCACCATATGATTTCATCCAGAATCTAAACATATTGTGAAAATGAAAACAATTAATACCGGGTATGACCGTGATCTTCGTAGCATTGCTGCATATACCCCAGACAGCTTCTGAACAGTCTGCTGTACAGTTTCCACTGTGCAGTTTCTGAGCAGCTACAGCTAGCTGTCAAAGACAGGTTGGTCATGATTTTCTCCTGTTGATGGAATTGGAGAGATGGTTCCAATCAGGTCAGGGGAAAAAGATGGTCATGGCAAGACCTTAGAATTGTGTTCTTGAATTGGCACTTTTATAGTTCCAGAAACATTGTCCTACTGGATATTCTACACTTCTGTATTAGCTTTGAGGAACAGGAACTCTCTGTCAGTATAGCAAAGAGGAGTAGGGTTGCAGCCAGTCTGCAGCATAAACATTCTTGTGTTAAAGGAGATTCCTCCCCAGATCATCACACTTCTGTTGGTTGGCTTGGGCAATGCATCAGTCAGTATAATGCTCACAAGGTAATTTCCACATATTCCACTGTGTCTGACGGTTCAAAATGTGAATGTCTCTGATGCCACCTCAGACATTCTCTGACAGATTCATTCAATCTCTCAGCTCTCAATGTGTTAGCACTCAGTGGTTTCAGGTCTCTTTAAACCTGCTGCTCCTGAAGATCTGGGAGAAGCTGATGAAGTGGTTTGGTTAAGCAAGAAAACAGCTGATGTAGCTTGTTAAAGATTGAGCTGGAGTGAAAACACCATAGACACACTGTCTCTCCAGGATCAGGATTAGACAGACTCGATATATGGAAAGCTAGAATCATTCTGCTGATGTGCAAGTTAATTATTCTCGGAATGTCTTGTGCATCTATTACAGTCTAAAAAATTACACAAAAGAATCAGACAGATATGATGATCTTGGAATTGTATTTTGCCCCTTTGCCTTCCATGTACTCTTCATCACACTGATTCCTGGTTTAACTGGATCTGTCTTCCGTGTCCTGTACATCAGATGGTTTCCTGGTTTTTCTCTGTTCTTTAAAGTCATGTCTTGTCTTTTTGAGTGGATTCCTGACCAGCTCTTTTTGACAATTTTAACTCAAACCAAATAACAAATCTGATGTGTTCCTGACATCACATGAAGTGAACTCAACATCAACATGAAGTAAACTGAATATATTCTTGTCCTCCAAAAACATAACCATCAGATACCTCTCTGGTCATCATTTAAAATGTAAACATTATTACATATGAACTCAATGAAACTTTAATATAAAATAAGGTGTTGTTATGTTGATATTGGATATTAGGTATATTAGGTGTTTTCATTGTGTAATTGTGTATTGTAATCCTTTTCTTTGTGTCAAATTCTGAACCAAAGCTTTGTGGATCTCACTCGATCACAAATTATGTTCAAATCAGATGTTTCACAAAACCTGCTGTTCTAGCTTAGCTTGAGAGATTTTCACATTTATCTATAAATTAATAATGTTTTAAAAATGATAAATAATGAGAACCGTGCCTTGATATAGATCAGGACTTCAGGACGATCAACAAGTGGTACAACTTTCTATGTTGTGTTGAACTGAAGAAATCCCTTATTCACTTCAGTCAATTGAAATCTGAATAGATAATAATAATAATAATAATAATAAACTTTATTTTATATAGCACCTTTAAAGGTGGCTTCTCAAAGCACTTTACAGGATGACAATAACAATAAATAAGAAGAATACAACAATAAATAAGAAGAATACACAAGATAAGACACGATTACAATATATAAAGGAGACCGTGGAAGGTGGTATTAAGAAGAGCAGAGGGGTGAAGAATGGAACCAGTTCAGTAAAGGCTTTTCTGAAGAAGAGGGTTTTGAGTTAAGGGAAGGTGACTTTCTGGTATTCTTGGGCAAACAGATAGACAGATATGACTTAGGTACGTGGAAATTAATCATGAGACTGTCTTGTAACCTCTTATTCCAACTTTCTACACATTAAGGTTAAGGTTAGCAGCAATACCCAGCTGTGGTGCCCTTTGACATGGACACATTCTTGTTTGTTAAAACTTCACACCCTTAACTGGGGGTTTGTTGATTTAAGAGAGTTTGATGTCATCTGGAAACCGTTCTAATTTCAGCCTTGTTGTGGTCTTTTCTTTTCAGATTACCAATGAAATCGAGCTTGACATTACAGAGAGGCCAGTCAGGCTGATATCAGAACAGGTTGTGGAGCTCAGCATTCAGCTAACAGGAGAGACGTACAGTGAGGACCTGAGAGATCCTGTTAGCTCTCGCTACCAGCTCCTGGCCCAGCAATTCATTGAGAAGGTAAGGCACAGTTACACACACACAAAGGGAGAAATATTGTCTCATTTTAACACATCTGTAACAGTAATCAAATAACAAAGAGGGGTAACAGCATGAAATGGCACAACAGAGTTATAGCTTTTGGGAAAAGAAACTGAATTTTAAGATTTCATCTCACATAAAAAGCATTGGTTCTGAATTTTATTCTACATTAAAAGTTTGCAAGGTTTTCCTTCAATAAAAATGTCAGTTTGACTTGATAATTCTGTAAATCTTAAATACTGCGTCTATATTTAATTTGTCCTTTGCCTCCTTGCCTGGGTAGGACTCCCAGTGTCAAAATCTCAGGCATTTGAATTATACTGTATTTTATTGGCTGTCTCGAGTTTGTCTCGAGTTTGTCCAGAATATTATGATATAAGTGCTATTCTGTGTTTTTATGGTGTATAGTCTAAAGCAGAGAGATTGTGGTGGGTAGATTGGAGGGTTCTGATGTTGTGTACAGGAAATGTGAATCATCAAAAAGTCAACAATTTAACTAGAGAAAGCCATTTCACTAGCATGTTGCTTATTAGTATGATTCCATTGCTTACAGAACTCCCTTCTCTATAGCATCTGGTTGGAAACATAAATTGAACCCCATGTTGTAATATGAAACGAAATAACACAGATATACTGCATATGGCATTAAAACCTTTCATCTACACTGCATGAGTTAAATAACCTGCAGCTTACCAGGTCAAATCCAGACTCTGCCACTTGTGTACAGAGCAAAAACTAACCCTGACCACTGCCACTATGAGCTTGTCATCTGGAGGATCGGCAGAGTACATACTACGAGCATTGCCATTGATATCTACTAGTAATAACCTGATTCTGCAGCACAATTCACATTAGACGTTGTTCGATTAAACAAGTAACATTAGTTTATTCTGAAAAAAAAGCTATTTTCTGTGCTGTGAAAACTTTCCATACCATATCCTGTGCTGTCCCTTGGCGATCTTAGCATTCATTGTACTTTAAGAAGGCTCGCATGTGTCCAGTGAATGAGAGCTCTCCCAGATCTTGAATCAGCTCTCCCTTAAGGACGAGCAGGAGAGTCTGGAATATGGAGGGCCTTAAAACAAACAATAATCGCATCAGTATGCTTCTGTCTGTCCGTCCCAGCTGATAGGATGATGAAAAGCCTTGGACAGAGGAAACACACAGGAGACTTAGAGAGAAAAACACACTGAACTACATTTCTGGCATAATATATTAAGTCCCACAGGTCTTTTTGCTCATTTCTTTGCGTCAAAGGGTATTATAGTGTAACTTACAAAAAATAGTAAATTCTGTGATATGAAATTGGGAGCCCGTTTGCTCTGGAGACATTATTACTACACATCTGCTAAAGATAAAAAAAATATTTTTAGATTTCATTCAGTTTCCTTATACATATACCATATCTGGCCAGGAGGTATTATCTATTATGTAGCATAACAGAGGTTTTGTTTGGACAATGCATTAAAAGTAAAATATAATACGTTAATTTTTTTTTCTCCCATTTAATAGATTGAGGATGCATTTGAAAGGCTGCCAGGATTCAAGGCTGTTGATGTAATTGAATTCAGGTGAGAGTCTTCCAATATTTTTCCAGGAAAAGTAAGGATGACATAAGCTTCTACTTCTACACTGCAGCAGACTAGTTTTTATAAAAGACAATTTCAAGTAGCTTAATTAGATGTAATATATATGTCAAACAGTAATGCATGCTTTATAAGACAGAATAATTGTGCAATAATGAACAAATGTACTGTTATTAGTCTTTTGCACTTTTGATGCTTTTTTGCAATCAATAACAATTTTGTTTTGTTCAAATTTTTTTGTGTATAGGCAGCAAAAGGACTCCAGGGGGTAAGGACCTCATAACCTTTACTGAGACACATTTACAGCAAATTATTTGCTTGTTGGAATCCATATTTAGACACAGGCTGTGGGAGGAGGCCAACAGAATATGTTTTAAAAATATTTGCACGTTTTTCATGGTACATTTTACATTTTTAGAATTTGTCTGAAGTTGACATTGATAGATCACGATCTACGGAACACTGTCCCCTCCAAAAATATTTTGGTCCCAGCACTGTAGTCAAAGCTGCAGCTCGTCCAGAAAGAAGAAATGAGCAGATGGTGAAGTTTTTGCTGTCTGTAGGAATTGTTAAATACACAGTATATATATAAACTTCTCTGTGCCTAAAGGAAATTGGAAGAGGTGTCTGGAAAGATATAGTTTCTGTTTTAGGTAGCATGGAAAGCTTGGTCCTCTTTTCCCATGACTTGCCCCATAACCAGCATACTGTACTTTACACACTGGCTTTTCACAGGCTGGGCTGACAGACAAGTCCAGCTGGTACAGAATACAGGATAATCTGGCCGGGCTAACAACCAAATCAATTTGCTCTTCTGTCAGTACAGTCCAGTTTTTGTTACGGTCTTCTTATGGTTCCCAGGCATTCTGAAGATACTAATTGGGTTACATTTAAATGCACATGATGAGTTAACTTAGCCTTTTACAGCATGCATTTCTCTACATCGTGTGTACATAGATACATCTTGAAACACCACAACAAGTCTTTAAATAGGACAGTTTTTCACTGCTCCTACATTTCCAATTAATTCAGCCTTTCTATTGCTCTTGACATCAGTTTCATTGTAGCGAGTTGTGATTTTTCTTATAAGATTACAAAAAAATCACACAAAACTGACTCACTTGTCTTCATGTCTTTGCGTGTTGAACAAAAAATCCCCACATGCTAACTGTGTGCTTGTGCTGCCCCCCCCCAGAGGTAACGCTGTGGTTGCACACTACACTGTGACCTTTGAAGCGGGTATGGGTGGGATAAGCAACGAGACCATGGATTTCATCAACCTGAAGTCCAATATGGTGGAAGCATCCTACCCAGAGCTAGACGAGAGCCCCACTGTGGTTTACACCATCACAGACTTCCGCAACTACATCACAGAAGCCCTGCACAAGGAATCCTTTGTGGGAAACACCTCCTTGACCGTCGACCCTGACTCTCTCCAGCTGGCAAAAGGTAAAGAATAAGTCTTACTCTCAGGCCATTTTTGACCCTTTCTTCAGGAGATGGGGGAAGGGCGGGCCTGTGATAGTTCAGGTTTTCTACATTACATCAGAAACAAGTACATAACTCATATTTTTTGGTCCAAGGTTTTTTTCTCCATTTCCTGAACGTGCCAAAACTGTTTAAAACTCACTGTACACTGAATACACCAAGCGAAGCCAATTACCTTGTTTTGTAAGTAATGGAACAGAATTACTACAGCTGGACAGTAATGACCCTTGGATGTGCCGTTCTGCTGAATTTCAAGGTCTTTCATCATTTCTTTCCATCCTACATTAGTAAATAACCTCCTTTCAGACACACTTAAGAATGATGAAATAAATGTTTTTTTCTATCAAAAACGTTGCTCTCAGGAATACCAATTGTCTTATTACTTCTTATTAATTCTGTATATACGGTATAGTGGGAACATTTAAAGGTAGCTGTGCAGGTGTTTATAACTGCTTTTATGTAGAGTATTGGCACGATAAACTATATGACAAATGGATGTTGTGAAAGAAGCCTTTAAAGGTTAATCTAGTGTTACTGCTTGTGCTAGAAGTCAATGCCTTTGATGTGGTGAAGCCCATGGCACGTGTTCTTGTGCCTTCCAGCTGAAAGTGTCCTGACAGGGAAGCCCAGCCAGGGAAGTCTCAGGCCAACCCACGGCCCAGCTGACCCTCCCGACAGTATGGTGAGTGAGTTCCCTGGCAGGCTCCGCCAAAACATGCTGGGACCACGACTGGAACGGGAATGAAGACTCCACGCTGCAATCATTTCCACCAAACGCTTTCGTGTTATTCTAACGCAAAGAAAAACAGCCGAGCTTTACCCTGGGGAGGTATTAATAAGAAGGCTATGCTCTGTGCCTAATTAAGTAGTTTCGCTAAGCCTCACACAGATGTTGGAAGAACAATTTGCTTTTCAATTAGATAATGCAGTGTAAAGGGGTTTTGCCATAGAAAAGGAAAAAGCATACATGGAATGTGGTGTGGTATATAGTCCTGGTTTCATCATACTTGAGAAAATGAAGCAAAGTACCACAGGTTTGCAAACTCTTCGAGACAGAACCATTTTTAAAAGTGGTCATGTGCGGTGAGGTCATTTATGGTCGCATCACCAAGGAATAAAATAAAAGAAAAACATCTGCTTTCAGTCTGAATACTAAGAATATCAACAAACGACAACAACAAACAATTAGAAACCCTGGCAAAGTCCCTGAAACCACTTGTAACAGCCTTTCGATTGAAGTGATTTGTTGTTTCCATCAGCCTGGGCTGGACTGGACTTTCCACATCTCTCATGAAACTGATGTTCGGAACAAAAATAATGATGTTCGTTATTCCACTTTCAGGTGAACCGTTTGTCTGGTGAATTTCAGAGATTGTCTTTACAGTACTGTATGCGCTGTGCAGTACAATCCACTCTGCGGCAGACATCTGGGTTCAATTAACTTTAAATCTAGCAAAGTTTAAGGCAGTATCACAGAAAGATAATCATTATCCTCCTGTCATAGGAGAGACTTGCAATTTGGGTTTGTCTGATGTTCCAGTTTACAAATCTAATCATTTCAGTTCCTCAAGTGAATCATACAGGCAACTTTAAACACTGTTTTCACAGGTCAGTGTTTTTCATTCTTTAGCTACATATCCTTATACTTAGATTTAGATTTACTTCGATTTGTGTTATTTTCTGTTTATCATAACTGGGGTATGAAGTAATAGAACAATCAAATAGTTACAATTCTAAAGTTTTTAACCTTGTTTTAAATCATGAATGGTATTTTTTTTATTCTTGTTATACCCACCACCTCCCCCACAAAACAAACACGTAATGTGGTGTTGCCGATTGTTAAAAAAAACACCCCATCTCTATTCTAGCATGAGCTGTGGTGGACGGTGTTCTAGGTACCATTTTCGAACCACCTCATCCGATTCAGGGTCACTAGGGAGTCAGTGCTTATCCCAACATGCGATGGGTGAAAGGCAGGGTACAACTCTTCATGAGATGCCAGTCCATTGCAGAGCCAGTTTTCCCACAAGCCAACCCTCCAGTAGTCCCTGGACTATGGGAGGAAACTGGATGCACCGGGACGAATCCAACATGAACACAGGGTGAAGACACAAACCTCAAGCAGATAGCATCCCAGGGTTGGGTTTGAGCACAGGGCCCCAGAACTGTGAGGCAGCAGTGTTAAGCACTCTGTTGCAGCTCTTTTACTCCTTAATTTGAAATAAGGGGTTGTCAGAGCCATCTGCTATTTTCCATGCTAACAGTCCCACGGTGTCAACAGTCACTGACAACCGGGAAGTCAACAAGTCCAGTGTCACCCACTCCTGCCAATTGGACATAACTGCACCACCACAGATAAATAGTGATGTAGTCTGGACTCGAGCTACTGGATCTGACTACAAGGCTCAACCAGTGTTTCGTCTGTTTTTAACCGAACAAGATATCAGCACTATGCCTGAAATAGTACATGAAATAAAAAAATAGCTTTCTTGCCGGGTTTGAGCTTGCTTATATCATCACATCTAGCAATCTAGCACTGGTTTGAATAGAAACATCAGGACGTTCTTCATTGTAATCCGATGAACAGATATGACTTCCCCTCATTTTGTCATTGTCTGTCTCTACTTGTTCGGATTAGGTATGAACACGAGTGGTTAGCCCATTGCAGGAAGGGAATGAGGTGACATATAACAACACCAGATTGAAATTAGATTTGCCCTAGGGCTTATAGGGTCTTCAAAGGGCAAGAGGCAAAAACGCTAATTTAGTCTCTTTCAGCTGCTTATAAGAAACAACTTATAAAAACAGTAAGTTTTTGCAACATGGATTTTCTAAGTGTTTTATCCCATTCACTGTCATATTCATATTTTCATTGTTTTATGGAAAAATGCATTTGGACTTCTTGTTATTTCATCAAAGCCATTACATTTTGAATTTCATTACATAGCCAGGCTGGTCAGTTGAATTCTTTCATTTTTAGATACAAATGTGTGACAGTCTCTTTTTTCAGTTGCCCTCATCCCATGATCCTTAAAGTAAATTGTCATTCCTCAAATAAAATAAATGTTCCAGCGTTTATCTGAGGCAAAGTTTATTACCTGCTCAGTCTCCTAGCGAGAAGGAAAGAACTAAACATGTTTAGCGTTTAGCTCCTGTAATGCTTCAGGGTGGATTACTGGCAGAGCTTTTGCCGAGTACGGGAAAGACCTTCCAGAATAACCCAGTGTCCTGACTCAATGTTGGACTTAATCTTGCCATTCATTGAGAAGGGTAGTGCTGGAAAGGGGATAAAGGTTGGACCAGAATGCTTAGAGAATATATCCAATAAAAGCAATAATGCATGCACATTCCTATCCCATTCATATTCAGTGTATACAGTGGAACAACAAAGTAATAAGAAAGTAAAAATATTGTAAGAACGGTGTAATTAACGAACCCTGTGTCTCCAGGTGAGATCTGGTAGCTGAGGTATCCAAGGCGTGCGACGAGGTAGAGTGGTCGGTTATTCCAGGCTGGGTCAAGTCCAGGTCGTAGGCAAGAAGAGAGGCAAACAAATCCGATAGGGGCGAGGCAAGAGAAATCCCCAAATCAAAGAGTCGACGTTGAGGGAGTCCAGACGAGGTAGAAAAGGTACTGAGGAGGAAAGGGCGAGGCAAGCTCAGGAGGCAGAAGAGATCCTAAAACCGAGCAATGTTACAGGGTGAACTGAGGGTTTAAATAGTGAAGGAAGGGGTGCGTAAGGGAAGTTGGACAATGAGGGGTTAATTGAGACCAGCTGTCCAGCTATCCATTGTTATAAATCAGAGAACAGAGATTTACAGGGCCATTCATGAAAAATGTCCTGGTGCAGCTTGGATTCAAGCATTCACAGTGTCCGAAATTAGCCTCAAAATTGATTGATCTTAGGATCAAGTGAGCACCTGTGACAAATGGTGATATTAACTGGTCTGTTTTCCAAAAAAATGGACTGTTCTCTCAGTATTCATTTGTAGACACGTGTAGTATTCATATAGTGTTGAATGGCTTTTTAACTCTTTTGTACACTTGCACAAAAACCCTAACTGCCAAAAAATGAACTGAAGACAATTTTAAGTGTCAAAACATCACTTGATATTTTGTGTAGTTGATCTTAACCCTTCTGCTTCTTTGCTGTTATAGGACAATATTCTGGCATCAGAAAAACCACCTGATACACCTTCAGAGGACCTGACCAACAATGACATCTTCATCAGTGGCTCCATAAAAGAAAATTTTAATCTTGACACTGTGCATCCTAATGACTTGTGGCCAGGGTCTCTGAGCCCTCCAGCTAAGGAGAATGATGTTATAGTGCTGGAGGAGAGCCCTACTCCAGTGTCTCCTCACCTGTCAGATTTGGTCCTTGACTTGAGACCTGAGTCTACGGTGGAATCAGATAGATCCATCAGTACGTTCTCACCTGACATTGAAGGTGAGTAACTATGCCAGCAGCTGGGTCTCTAAGTTCAATGCACAGCATGAACACATCATGTCTCTGATGAACAAGGTGCTTGAATGACTAACTGTTGACATTAGAGGCTGTGCCTGTACTCTAGTCAATACAAAGTTCCTCTGTGGTTGTTATACATTACTTTTTTGATAAAGTGTCTGAAAGTACATTTAGACGATACCATTAATGCACCTTTGCCTCCATCTAGTTTGACGTATTGAGTGCAGAAATAAGGCAGGCAGCATACAAATAGGAATCAACAGCTTGTTGTATAATACAAAAAAGGAAATGTAATCGATTTTGAATCTCATCTAAATGTTAACTCTTTTGCTTCCCTTCTGCTGTGTAGATAATGGAAATGTTGAAGAGGAAGGCTTCTTTTTCAGTAACACAGTAGCTCCAAAGCCAGTGCCAACAGACAGCCCAAAAATAGCAACTTCACACGTTGCTCCTGATATGGACCTTCCAACCGCCCTGCCATCCTTGTCAATGGACATCACAGCTGAAGATTCAGGAGTGCCCAGATCTACAGCAGTGCCTCCCACATCTGGCCAAGCTGAAGATTCAGGAGTGCCCAGATCTACAACAGTGCCTCCCACATCTGGCCGAGCTGAAGAATCTGAAAGGGCAAGTTCCTCCTCAAAATCACTTGTTCCAACTGAGGCACCAAAGCTTTTGAAAACAACAGAAACCGTGATTTCCACCTTACCTGATACACAGTCTGAAGGAACATTGCCATATGGTTTGATTCTTACAAAGAGCGACATGAATACACCAGCCATGATGTCTCCAACTCACAGTTCTCCCACTTCCTCCTCACTTGATAAATTGCTGATGACGGCAACCGGAAAGCCACTAGTAGTGTCTCCTTCCCAATATCCCTCTACCCCATCTGCATCTGATGTAGCTTTTACGTCAAATGCTGCTTCAGAGAGTACGACAGAGAAGCTTACTGACGTGTTTGACCTGGGCTCTGGTTCAGGGTTCTTCATCTCTGGACAAGAGCAAGGGCCTGATCAGTGGCCATGGTTGACTGTAACATCTGACTCCAGTTACTATCAAGAGGCACAAACAAGCCCAGACATTAATTCACATTCACCACTGAGTACAACTCCAGAACATACTGATGAGTCCGTACCTCATGTCATGACTGATTCTCCAGATGTTTTAAATGAGGAGATTACTTTATCTGAGGATTATTTTTATTCTAAAAATGCAAACACGACACCTGTGGAGGATAAAGAATCTGGGATAGACTTGGAGACACAGGAAACATTTTTGAATAGAGTGCTTGTTACCGAAGATATACGAAATGTACCTCACTATACCACTACAGATGAAGCCCCTGTTTTCTGGACAATGGAGACATTAACAGTCGAACTTTCCATGCTAACCTCTGAGGCCTCTGGCATGTATTATGATTATTATACAAGTGAGTCATCTACTACGGTGTCACCGGTCACTGATTATTCTCTTCCTGATATGAACACGGATGAGAGCACCACTGTAGCCCCTGTCTTAGAAGGACCAATGACAACAGCACAACAATCTGAGGATCAGGAAACTGGGGGAAATTCATTTGATAAGGAGAGCATATTTGAAGTTGTTTCAACTAAAGAGTCAATGACCACAGATTCATTTGAGATGGGACAATTTCCAGCACATCCCGTGACCTTCACCAACCTTATACATGGAGACACAGGATCATTGAAAACAACCCTGGATGAATCCAGTGTTGAATTAGCCACAAAAAATGAACCTGTCGCAGAAGTAGGCACTCAGGAGCAGCCCGTCATTACGTCTTTCACCGAGGAACCTCCGTTTTTGGAAAACAGAGACAAGAGTCAAGGGGATAAAGCAACTGATGTCTCGAAAGAGAAGGTTACACACACCCTGACCACAGACATGCCTGCAACTTTGATTCCAGTGGAGGACATTGCTGATGAAGAAATTTTAACCGTTGACTTGACAATCAAAGGCCCAGCATTAGTCACGGAATCCTTAAGTACTGCATATCCTCTCACACAGTCTCCTGAAGAAGAATTTACTTTGACTAAATCCTCTGCTGCTCTGCCTCTGGAAGTAGAATCTGACACTTTGCATCCAGCGCTGTCAGAGCAACTAATAACTGTTCCATATTTACCGGATGAAACCTCCTCTAAGGAAGTCAGTGTAGATACAAGTCTGACCCCAGATGTAACAGACACATATAATAGTCCCATAACATTTGCTTCCACAAGTATTGACACTCAAAGTGAAGTTTACTCATTAGCTACAATGCCTCCATTGATTCAGTCGAACACCAATGGACCAACAGACAGCTTTATGGTCACTACAATGTCATCTGGCAGGAAACCTCAGGACATTAGCACCACACAAAGGCCAACTGTACCAGCTCCCACAAAGCCATACCAACCAACAATCCACGTGGACAATGATGTCATCAGTACAACATTGCTAGAAGGAGAAGCCTATATACCCCAAAATCCCAACATTACAGATTTTGACTTATCCATTCAAGAATATCACCACACAAGGGGGAATAACACTGAGCAGGAAAGCAGTGGTTACACATCTGTGAATGAACATGCTACAGACATGGCCAGCATAGCCATGCCTACCAATGGAAATTTCACTACACCTACAAGGGCACTGGTAGTTTTCTTCAGCCTGCGGGTGACCAACATGATGTTCTCTGAGGACCTATTCAATAAAAGCTCGGCTGAATACAAAGCTTTGGAGCAAAGGTTTCTGGAGCTTGTAAGTTGACAGACTACATTTTTGTTTTTATTCATCATTGTCCTTTTATAGATAGCGTTTACTGGCTTTAATGTAGCTGCAGATTTAAGTGTGTCTCACTTAGAGATAAAAAAAGCTTTTCTTTGTCTTTTAGCTTGTCCCTTACCTGCAATCCAACCTATCGAACTTCCAGAACCTTGAAATACTCAACTTCAGGAATGGTAGCATTAAAGTGAACAGCAGAATGAAGTTTGCCAAACCTGTGCCCCGTGATGTTACTAATGCAGTCTACCTCATTCTTGAAGACTTCTGTAATACTGCCTACCAAACGATGAACCTTGCCATTGACAAATACTCTCTGGACGTGGAGTCAGGTAACACTTTTTTATTATGACTAGGATACAGAGGTGTGACCACCTTTTTTTCTAAATAAGTATGCACAGCTACAGGACCATACCGATTAATTACTAATAGAATTAATGTGTTTCCTAATTACTAGTTTGTTTAGGTTTCATATCACTAAGTTAAAGGTTTGAGTAACAAAGTGATTTCAAATTCTAAAATGTGGAAAGGAAGGTGTATCTAGAGCAGGAAGATTTTTGTTGAAAAGTGAGGCTATAGAGGTATGGTGATAATTACACATAAGAGAATTTGGTTTTTAAAGAGTACAACATGTTCTTATACAAAGGGTTATGGGGTCTGGAGCAAACTGCCCAGCCAGGGTAATTCCCTGGAATCCTGCAAGAAACAGCTGGATAAGATCCTCAAATCAATAAACATCTAGCAAAATAAGCAAGCTGTGTCTAATTGCCTTCTCTCGCTTGTAATCATTTATTAGTTATTATGCAGTGAGAGGAGATCTAAAATGTCAGGCTGCGCTTGCACACGTAAAAAAATGTACTAAAGGTTTCTGGCTGCACAATACAATAGCCTCTTCAAAAGCCACAATACTGCCTCAGTGTTATTCCCATCCCTTTGTAAAGTAAATTCTACCTTGTATGACCCTACCATTTTTATTTAAATGTATCAGGCACAGTGAATTTAATGCACTTTACATTGTTATGCTAAACATATTTTAATCTTGGGAGTCTAGGATCTGAGTAAGGGTGAGAATCACACCAATCTGCAGCTGGTAGTTTGAGTAGTTCTAGTTTTTTTCAGCTACCACAAATCTGCTTGCCATGTTATACAAGTCTGAATACTGTTAATATCGCAGCCTTGTAGTAATCCCAAGTCTCCTTGTTTCCTGGTAGTTTTGTCATATACTGTTGAAGCATTGACTCTAACTGGAGCACGAAGCTCTGAGAAGTACTCTCCAAGCCCTTTCCATATTTAATGACAGACTGATGAGTCATGTTCTTGTTTATTTTGAGCGGCGGGTTCAGAAACGTTCTTGGTCTGATAAGCTGATAAAACTAATCTGTCTGAGCCAATCACACAGAGAAAGCTGGCAGATTATTGATTTATCATATTGGAAGCCATGTGACTCTCAGCAAGTTTACCACCAGAGTTTAGAGTAGAGAATCCCATGAAATGGACAGTATTTGTGTGGAAAGGGAAATGAAACTTTTTTTTGCAACTTAATTTTGTATTATTTTTCTTTCCATTTGCAAGCACACCAACCAAACCAAATTACAAAGATGACTAAAACATTCTTGTGTACATATACTTATAGATATCGTACATTAAAGTCTCATGTGTGTACATTTTCACTAGAGATACAAATGATATAATTGATCCTTTCAATCATATTTCAAACAAAACTATCGATAAAAACAAAAAAAAACATTGATAATATTGCTGTGACCTACCAGAGTCTTAATTTTACATAATGCCACTTTTTAAAGATACATTATTTGAAAATTATCCCCTGAAACCCCCTGTATGGTAATTCTATCTCCGTTTTAAAGATGTTGATATTTTCATCAGTTTAGCACATTAACAGTGCTAAAGGTGTTGATGTCAGTCCCAGCATTCTTTGGGGGGTCTGCTACAGTATAAGCAAGGTCATTCTTTCCCTTGTTTTCTAAAGAAAACTACAAAAATAAACTTTCTAAGCTGAGTCTTGTGTTCTTGTCTAGCTGAATTTATAAATGAGTTAGGAATAACAGAAGGGAAACTGGCAATTGTGTTATTGTTTAAAATGTAATATTTATCAAAGCTGAAATTTTAGTTCTTGCTAAACTGTTTACATCTTGTTTTGAAGTTTTCTTTGCTGCAGCCGAAGCAATTTCTTAGAGAGTATTCCCTCTTGATGAGTCATGGGAATTGCTGAAAGGAATATTACTCTCTGCTGTGCTGATGACTTATTGCTGCAGTTATCAGATGTGATACCTTTTAGGCTATAACAGGATATCTGTTCATATTTTCCTTGTAAAATAATGAAAAACGTATCACCAATGCAACATAAAGCCAACATGCATACAATTTAAACCATTTTTTACTTGAATGCCCTTTTAATTACCCATATTCTGTCTTATAAAATTAGAATATAATCTAAACACATTTGAAACCAAGCTAAATCCCATTAAACATTCCTGTCACAATTTTTTCATTTGTTTCAGGCCATAGCTTGGAGGCCCACTTGTATCGGAAATATCCCAGTTCAGAAACCCCCTGATCACATCTAATTACATACCTGCTTTGTTTTTAGGTGACCAGGCTGACCCCTGTAAGTTCCAGGCCTGTAATGAGTTCTCTCAGTGCAGAGTTAATCGCCGGACAGGGGAGGCCGAATGTGTGTGCAATGCTGGGTATTTCAGTGTGGATGGACTGCCCTGCCAGAGCATCTGTGACCTTCGGCAAGACTTCTGTTTGAATGATGGGAAGTGCGATATCATACCAGGGCAAGGGGCAATTTGCAGGTAGGGCCATTGTCAGCCTAGCAGCAGTGATTAACTCATCCTGTTCCTTAGACCCCATGTGGAAGCACTATTACCCCTGTACTTTAAAAAGAATGCATGAAATAATAATGTAGCAAAACACAATAATAGAAATGTTTTACTCTTAGTTTCTGTGGAAATTGTTTTAACTCTGTGTTTATTCCATACTGAGCTTTTGTGTTTTACTTAATCTTTCTTAGCCATCATCAAAGTTCGTACAATGTAACTTTGGTACATAATATTCTACCTTCCATGGAATATTGGCTTGGAATGCAGGATTTATATGACTTTTAACCTTCAGTGTGATGTTTTTTTAAAGCTTCTCTAAACCTAAGCATCAAAAAAGTCATACAATTCATGACTGTTTCTAATAATATACTACTATCTATAGTAATAATTTAAATGAAGGCATCAACAGTTTAATTGAACTACAATGTTGTGTCTGTGTTGTGGATGTGGTGTAGCAGGTAAGGCTCTAGACCTGGGTGGATCACATGAGCAACATAATTACCTCAGATTGCTTTCATTAAAGTCATTTTTGTGGAGGAACATTTGTCCTCAATGGATTTTCTGTTTAAACACAAGTTTGTTATATTCTTTTTAGAAATACAGTGGTATATGGTGTAACATGAACAAATGTTCACAGCCATCGGCTCTGTTTGTTTGATCAGCTCTGGGTTGGTTGTTATGTCAGAGTTCAGTCTCCCAAGGAATGGTCTTTTCTCCAATGCTTAGCCTAATCAATTGTACCAGAGAAGATAAATGTAAGCATGAAGAAATGCAACATTGTTATCAACTCCTGGAAGATTTTGACCCTTGACCGAATTAGATGGAGGAAAACATATTGCAAATGATCAGTCAATGCACATATCTCCCAAGACAACCCTTTTTCAACCTTTCAGAGACTGTGCAGATCTCGTTTCCGCCTGATCAGTCACCTTTGGCTTTCTCCTTCACCCTTGACCTTTCACCCTTGACAATGAGGGATAGGCAAAACATGGTACAGCTTGAGTCTAGCGTCAGCTTTCCTTAAGCTTCAAATAATGGAGTTTAACATATAGCCAGGTCATAAAAAAATACCCAAAATAAAAATAAAATGCAGTTCTATTCTTCTGCTGCAACACACTGTAAAGCAATCAAAAATAGTAAATGAACTATCCACATTTCAAATCCCTTGATGCATTACAGATATACTCCAAATGAATTATGACAATGCGGTTTTCATTGGCTCTGAAGAAATTGTGCTTTGGCTATATTTCAATATCATATTATTTAAGAATGCCTTACGTTGCTTTATGTCTTTCTGTCTTTTAAAAGCACAGTTGTGCGTGCTTGGACAAACAGTTGTTGTGCAGAATACTGTAGGTACATCCCTTTGAAGTGAAGACATCATCAAGCCTATAACATGGCACAATGTTTTGCTCCCGAGCCAAGTGTGTTGAAAATGACCCCTGCACATGTGGCACAGGGTGTGTTATGCCATCCACGGTGTGTGGTTTCCAGGTGCCGAGTGGGAGAGAATTGGTGGTACCGTGGGAAGCACTGTGAGGAGTACGTCTCTGAGCCGCTGGTGGTGGGCATTGCTATTGCCTCAGTGGCTGGCTTCCTGCTGGTGGCGTCTGCTGTCATCTTCTTCCTAGCCAGAACTCTGCAGGACCAATACGACAAGGAGGACTCTGAAGAACCTGTCAGGTAGCTGAGTTCGGTTAACCTTGGCCCACTGGTCTTGAAGAGAACTACAACAGGCTTAATTTGTGCCTAAGTTACAAAGACGTTTACTGAATATGTCAAATGACAGAAAGTATATTTCTAAACAGACTTCATCACAATCACTTGCAGTGGATACAAATTGAGCATTTACATTGATAATGAAAAACAAAGCCCTTTGTGTAAAATATTTGTTGACAGAAAATAAAGTCCGATTTGTGGCTCATGTGCATTCTCTTTTAATAATAATAATAATAATAATAATTCCTTATACTTATATAGTGCTTTTCTGGACACTTAATGTATGCTTAAAATGCATGACAGGGCTTATCATAGGGCTGCAAAACATAATTATTCAAAATGCTCCTTTTCTGATTTTTGTAGCTATATCTCATTTGTAGGTTGCCATCAAACCTATAACTTTATGCTATATATACAGTATCTTAGCTCAATGGGTACAGACAGATAAAGTATAAATATCCTGTCCTTGAATGTGTAGACACAAATAATTAACATTAAGTTTATTTGGATATGTGTAGTGCATATTAACATAGTGCTCAGTTCAGGCATAATGCCTCTGTCATCTTCAAATCCCTGTGAATTTTGAGCAGAGCCAAAAATTATGCTGGCAGATTTCCTGCAACTGATTAATGACGCAGGTCATGTTTATAAAGATTCCAAAACAGTCCTGATTGCATTTAAAATGAAAGCTAAAAAAGCTGTTAAACAAAGGGCTATAACTCCAGTAACCTCTGGAATAGCTACAGACGTAGAGAGCCAAATGAAAGCGGTCAAATTGGCCTTACTAACGTAATGAGCCATTGTAATTGTATACCTTTTGATTTTCAGGAACGAAATGTAAGTAACAGAGACTGATTACCTTGGTTGATGCAGTCAGCATTACTGGTTCTGTATATTACAGCAGAGGTCTGATGACTTTCTAAACTTTAATGAAAGTACCTCTGACCTTTTAAAGACTTAATGGGACAGTAAACAATGATGTAATTACCTCAGCCAATCCTTCGACAGGTCTAATGTAGAGGTCACCTCAGGCTGTAAGATTACTGAACACAGTGTAGCTATTAATTCCAAAGCTTTACTTGCTAACGCTGTCTCATATGATCTTTGTGTCACTGCAGTGCAGTGTAGATGCATCACAGCTGTGGCTCTTTTATTAGCATCTACTGTATATGTTAAATTTGCTTGATTTATTTTAGTTAACGCCTCATGAATGTTTTATAAAATGTGGAGCAGACTGCCAGGTGCCCCTTCCTAAACTGTGCATGTCATGCAGTTGCTTTCAATTGGTCAGGCCCAACTATATACTGTATATATTTATATATATATATATTTATATCAGTAAATCTCTGTTCTTCTCTCTACACGACTTTAACTGCGCCTGTTCTTCTATTTAACTGCTTCTTTCCATATTTGTCGGCCCTATTCCCATTCCTGTATTTCAGTATCTGTCAACTACCTGTACTGTATGTATGTATTTCTTGACATGTGACAGTTTTTCCCTCCTGAGGTTTCCCTCCTATTACAGCATGTCCCTGGTTTGGCTCTGCACCCCTGTCACTCTGATCTTGCCTTGCCTCTCTTCCTCAGACTTGGGGATAGCCTGGCCTCGATGGAGAAGGCAGTGAAGTACAACCCCATGTACGAGAGTGATGCCACCACAGGCTACAGCCACTATTATAGACGCTACCCGCAAATGCCCTCCTACAGCTCTGCCAGTGCAGAGGCGTCCACTGACTTCAGCAGTGAGGAGATCAGGCACATCTATGAGAACAGTGAGCTCACCAGAGAGGTATACTATCTAATCTCTGGTGTTACTCTGCTCTCGGCTAGCTTCAGTTCTACCCCTACCTGTTTTTTACTCTTCACTTACCACAGACTCTCTGCTTTAAATCTCCAGGAGTATAGGGATAACTACGGGTTATTGTTAAGAGTTGGGTTAGGGTCACAATTACCATTAGGGTCAGGATTATAAATATTAGACAGAGGAATGGATATTTTAGGAACTACTGATGCCATTGTGATTCTGGTACTGGAGGAATTGAGAATTTGCAAAAGAAGTTTTAAATAAAGTGGAAGTGATTGTTTTCTTATTTCGGAAATTATTTTATTCCCAGCATATTCTCTTCTTATCTAAATAGATCACTATGGGCAAGTCTTGTGATCTATTCCACATAATATGATAAAACCTATGATTTGTAAGTATCGAAATGGTAGCCATTTAGTGTTTTGCCAAAGACGTCTGCAAAATGAACTGTTTCCATCTGATAGACAAAGTCCCAAAGGACATCTGAAACTAGGATGACAGGTTTTCAGGGGTAGATGTGCAGATCGTGTCTAAAAAATACTTAGCTGCAAAGTTGTCGAATTGCATGACATTTCAATAACTGTTCCTTATTTAAAAAAAAGTGACTAAATTGAAGAGACACTTTATTTCAGGAAATACCTTCTATGATTTTGTGTGGTGCACGTCTCAAGTGCTAGAGAACTGCAGTGTCTGCTGCACTTCACACCACCCAAGCTTTTTACCAGCTAATTAATCTAATTAACTGCACTTTACTGGACCCAGTTATTTTTTTCCTCAGCTGGTGTTGGTGCTGGAGATATAAAGAGACCTATAAAAGCTGCAGTATTGAAGCCCTAAAGAGCTCAGACAGAAATAAAGTAACTCTGCTCCAATGCACGTTTCTCCCTTTCCTTCTCCTCCCCCAGGAAATTGAAGACAGGATACGAATAATAGAGCTTTATGCAAAGGATCGCCAGTTTGCAGAGTTTGTGCGGCAACATCAGATGTGAGTTCATCTATTATTACTCCTTCATAGGGAGCCTTGGAAAAACACATTAACATACTTGACACGGTGAAACGTCCACTGAGATATTCCCACATGCGGAGCTCGAAGTCCAGCTATGAAATTAACCCTGTCGTTGCAGCCCCCCTGAGCACAGCAGCAGATGGGAAAAAATAATGCTGGGAGACGTAGGATCTATTGACAACATCTAAGTCATTGCAGCATTATTTCTCTTCATATAACACTGTCTTTAAACTTCTGCAATGCACAGTTAAGTGGTCCATCAACTACTAAATAAATGTTTTAGTTTCACAAGATATGTATTGAAATAGTGCTTTTAAATTGTACATGTCTTAAATGAGATGGGTGCATTAAGGCAAAAAGTGCAATGATCCCAGATTTGCAACCAGATAATACCTCAGAAAGGCCAGGTATTAACCTGCAGAAAAGCCCTGTAACATGCAGGGCCTGTACTATTATATTCTGAAGCAGAAAGTGGACTCCATGCTCATGGAACAGCTGGTTTATTCTGGCATTCCTACGTTTTAATTCAGTGTCTCCTTTGGAGAAACAGACTCTTCTGAAACAAAGACTACAAATTAATAAGGCATCCAAATCCAACCATTAGCATTAGTATACAACTGTCGTGCATTGCAGAAAGTCTTTTTCGTTTCTCACTAAATTAACTAAACAAACTTCCGACAGCAGATACCACCGTGAAATCAGGTCATTTTCAAATTTAGGTTTATGTTTACAGATTGTTGCCAAAGCAGCCAGACCAGATGTTAATTTCCTTGCTCTCTGTAAGCAGTTAGAGTACTGTGAATACAAGTAATAGGACAAAGCTTTTGGGTAGCTGGGTCTGAACTATTTTAACATAAGAGTCTGGCATCTGATTGCTGACAAAATGGAAACCTTGAGCTACCCAAGGAAATGTATGGTAAACATTTCATACAGCTAAAAGAGAAAAGCTCTGGAAAAGATAGACACTACCTCAAACCAGATACTAATGTACTGCAAAGAGAGTGAATAGAATGAGGAAGCAAAACACCTTAATTTACTATTTACTATTTGTTTCAACTACTTTATTGCAGTTTTGGCAGCTTAAGTTTTTAAATCCTTAGATTGTATAACGTTTTTAGGGGCTCAAGTGTGCCAAATCACTTTTTAAAAAATGACTCAACTTAATCTTCTCCTTGGTCAAACGCAGGGCCATGGATATCAGAAGAGAAAGTCCTTCCAACTAGACCTATCGGGTACTGTCGATGTGGCTGTAAGTAATAAGGTGATATATGCAGTTGGAATTATCCAAAAAGAAAAAGGCGGCAAACGTTTTCCTCTCAGAATTCATCTTCTTCCGATTCTTCTGATCTTTATTCTCATTGTTATGTTTTGGCAGTATCATTAAAAAAGTGTTTAAATCATGGCAGAATGTTTTATCGGTGTTGAACTACAAACTATTTTTAACGGTATTAATTATTATTAATAGTATTTATTTATTTTTAATTAAAGTGTACCTGTTCGTATGTATTTCTTTTGTTTGGTGGCAAGTTACAATACGATTCTAAGAACCTAAGTTAATCTTCTTTTAATGTTTCCTTCCCTGCACTATGGGCATGGCACATGTAAAATATATATATATGTATAATCACAGAACCAATAAACTCCTTATCCAAACATGAATTATCTCCTTTAAAATAATAAATATCTCCTTTCTTCTGTATCTCCGCTTTATTAATGAATATAGTTCCAATAACTAATTGATCTTGTCATGAAAAGTGCAGCAGACCACTTATATATCCACTAAGTCATCCCATTTCTTTACTTTCAGGAACATGCCTTGGAGTCTCATGATGAGACAGGAGATTTGGAGCAAGAAGTACAAGATACTCCTGCAGTCATGGGCTTGGATGAAGGCCAACCATTGTAGAATGATTAGCTCTGAAGTTTTTTTTGCAGTTCTGGCCCTTTCTTTGATAATTGGTGTGTTTCCTCGTCAGCTGCTGAGAGTTTTTTTTGTTGACACTTTTAAAAACGTGTTCCCTTGCTGAGGAACGTAGAGAGTAAATGAATGGTCTGTTTTTGTTTAAAAGGGGTCAAAGCGATGTGCATTGTTGTTATGTTGCTCTTCTTTACAGTACATATCACAGCTATCGTTTTCATTTATTTCATGTTAATTTCATGATGTAATAGACTCATGGGCTGTGTGGTTCTATGGAGATTTGCACAGCTGTCTCACTGTCCTTGGGTTTGGCATTCAATTCTAGACTGGGGCGCCTTCTATTGGACGTTTGGAGGTTCTCCTGTGTTTACACGGGATTCCTCCTCGCACTCCAGTAACTTCCAAAGACATTACTGATAGATTGTGGATAGTCTGATTGTGTAGATTGCCCAGGAGGAACAGGAGTGGGATCTCTTTTCATTTCTTTACCCTGTTTTTATATAGCTCTGCTGCATTGCTGACCCATACTTGGCTGAAAAGAGTTGTCAGTGAAAACACAATACAACTGTTTGGCAACATGTCCACCAGAATTGTTTCTGGATTTTATGAGTTTGCTGTAGGATCAATAACACACCCATTTGTGACATTACAAGAAGTGGGGAGGCCTGGGGACGTGCATGCTGTTTTTCCTCTTCAGTGCCTTCCCCTAGTTCAATAATGTGTGCTGAAAAAAGTGGTGTAGTGCAGTCAGAGTCTTCGTAAGAGAAAGGCACCCTGTTTCTGAAACTGAAACACAATCTGCAAATGCCGGTTTTCTTAGCACATCACAAGATCCTCATCAGCAGGAAATAAAATGCATCATAGTAATTAAAGATCTAAATGTTTAAAACCAGAATTGTATTTTGTATGTTATTCTGTTGGGAAAATAAGGGAATATTTGGACTAAAAACATTTTTATTGTAATATAGAGTGTGTACTGCATTTAGGTTTTAGAATTAATTTTTAAATAATTCCTGATCAATTTTTAAAAGAAAAGTGTTTTGATGAAGTTCAGCTTGCACTGCAGGTGTAAGGGAATCATGCAGCTTACCAAAAACTAGAATAGCACTAGGTAAGAAGACTGCTTGTTAGTTAAAAAAATAGTGTTTTTGTATTTTAGTTTACAAAATCTGTTTAGCCTTTATTATCTGAGTTAGAATCAGCATTACCCTGAATGAGTTCTAATGAAATTTGCTTTTTAAAAAGTTGTTTATAATTGTCAGCTGGTTAGTGCAAATTACTGTAAAACAAAGTGCTATAGAGTACTGTCTTACGTTTACTATGAATGCGTTACTTAATGTTGCCATTTAAACCATGAAAACGTCTGTACAACCTCATCTCGTGCTCAGTTACATTATTCACTAATGTAGTAAAGTGATTTAGAATTTAAACCACCAGGAAAAAGTAGTGCTTGCGTAGATACCTGCTACTCAATCAGAGAACTGAAGCAGACATTGTTTCTTTCTTCTGTGTGATTTTTGTCTCACTCTTCACAGAAGATCTCTGAGACAAATACCTTTTTAATGTGTTCTGGAGTGCAGCACCACCATTCCATCTCATTGTGGTTTAGAAAAAGAGAGTAAATGAAACCATCTCAAACCATTGCAACTGACTGGACTGACAGATTTGCTTTATCGCTAACAGTTGCAATTTTGTATTTGCATGAAGCAGTGAGAGCAAAAACACCCTTAAGACACAAAAACCATAATTTAGAGGCAAATTGATTATCTTCTTTTCAGGCAAGAAAGCAATGGACACAATTGTGAACAAAGTGAGTGAGCAAGGGAAAAAACTTTGTGGGAGCTGTTAATGAATGAATTAGGAGAAATGCATCAGACATTTGGTGCTACTTTGCAGGGCAGTTTGTTTGCTTTTGTGCACAGAAGCAACTTTAGGAGATGTGCAGAAATTGTATTTAGTCAGATTTCTGGAAATATGTGTGAGAAGAAAATAACTGATCAGTAAGTGAAACAATCTCAGTATATTTATCTCGTGCTTACTCTGAGATTTGCAGTGCTTGTTTCATGAAGCACAGAATGCTTTTTTTCTTTTTTAAATATTTTTTTTTTTAGGATTCTGTTTTTCTTCAAGAAGCTAAAACAATATGGGAAAAAGTGATCATATGAATGGAAAATCTGTACTCAGGTTGTTCTCTTTTGTTTATTTACACGGTGGATACAATATCGATTGCATAATGTGGGTGTCAACTTCATTTCACAATAATAATCTATCTGAGAAATATGGAAAATTATCCACAATTGAGATGCTAAAACATTTCTTCATTTACTAGAATGAAAATAAAGTATGCTCTAGATTACAGTGTACTTTATTGTTATTACTCATACTGGCCAAAAAGTTAGGCACCCTCAGACAACTGAATATATTCTCTGGTGACAGGCAGTGAGTGGTTTGCTAAACATTGGCTAAAATAGACTTCACATCAGTTTTTCTTTTTTTATCAGACAAATCTCCTGTTGAAAACTGAAGGATTGTGCGGTTCCTTTTCACTAACCACGAAGCTGATCAGATCACATCATGTCAGTTGAAGGTTGTTCTGTGAAAAAAAAAAACTGTGACAGGATTGATTTACAAGTATTTCACAACCTTGTAAATTCACAGTCAGCATATTCTCCAGGGGTTCCTAATATTTTGGCCAGTGAGTGTATGACTTCTTCTTAGACTACAACTAAGAATGGCAGAACAATGCAAATAAGTTTTGTTCCTGCAAGACTTAATTCAACTTAGAGTATGTCTGCAAATTTGACACTTGCACTTTCAATTAAACTACTTCAGAAGCCAAATGGCTTGCTATTTGATTATTTTGGATTTGGGATTTATGTAGACCTTGTAACTTTATGAATAATTATTAATAGTAAGAAATAGCTTGAAATGGCCCAAAACAATGTATCTTTATCCTGGATTTATTTTTAATTATAGCACTTAGAAGTTTGAGATTCTCAGCATATACAGTATAGCCCTTTGACGTTTTTTATTTATAATTACATCAGTGTTTTTTTCATAAATTGCTTTATGTACATCCTGTATTTCATTTTATGCAAGAAGACAAAAAAGGCAAAAAAGTGAGGCTTGGATGATGTTTTCTAGTAAAATGTTTACTAAATGTTTACTAAATTAGACAATTTAGTAAAATGTTTATGCCTTTACAATACATTCATCAACATATTTTAAGGTTTGTCTCATGTATCAAGATATTCCGGTCTTCACCCAAGCCAAGACCAAACCAAGGTTTTGTGTACCTCACTATACTTTATGAATCATAATGAAAAGCTGGTATCTTTAATTGTACATAAATTGTCGTTTTTAATAAAGCAGTGCATCCTTATTTTTACAACCTTACATCATGACTGTCTTTGTGTTTATTGCTTATTTTGCTTGAATTTAATTTCTCCTGCATTATATTTCTCTTTTAATTTTAAATTATAACTTTCATTCAGAAAGAAACACATGAAAGATAATCTGCCTAAATAGCCCTTTCCCTCAGTGATATTGAGTATACTCCAAAGTTATCCGATACAAAAATTAGATTCACCAGGCAAACAATTCTGGGTGAAACAGCTGATGTCAATTTACTGCAAATGAGTGTTCCAATCAGGTGAATGTAGCAGGTGTTTCTACTGCATGTTTAGAAGGATAATTTAAAAGATGTCATCATTCAGACACTTAAACTACTGGAGAAATAAATGCCTGTATGAAAGTACATTTTAACAAAACAGTACAGATTTTTGCAAAAATAACGGGTAAGTGAAATATTTTCAATAAAGTAATGTGCATTCCTACTGTAGTTGACATACAAGAAATATCCAATGCAAGGCCCTTTAACACTATATTGCAGGTTTTGTTCTGAAACACTAATAGTAATGCTGTTGCATAACGTGAGTCATTGTCTGAAATAACCCATGACTCTCTGTGTCTTGTTCATGGACATACTTGATTACACACACAAGTTGAGTTGATTCATCAAAAGTTTGCGGTTTCTGGAAGATGTTCACTGTACTTTAATTAAAATAAAGTCCACACCCAGGTCTGGCTCACGTTTCAAGGAATGAAGTGTAAATTGTTCAGAACAACCAGTCTGTTTCTTGAATTTTGAGACTTGAATGTAGAATGCTGGATTAAAACCTCTAATAGAATTGAAAGCAAAGCCACAGCTAATAAGAAGTGACACCCAGCCTAATCACAAACGGTTTGGCAGAACTACAACTGGTATTTATACACAGCATAGATCCTTGTGATGTCAGAGACTTTAGTGGACAAACAAGGGAAATTAAAAATATCTAATAAAGTGATCTTAAAGGACAAGCAAGCAATTTTAAATTTGTAGCAATTTTCCTACTGATAAAAGTGATTTTAAGCCATGCAAATGCAAAATGTAACTATTTAGATTTTTGTTGGTGAAATCTTTAAACCTAATGAGTTGAGTATGATACAAGTTCATGAGGCTTTTTTTGCAAAATACAGATTATCTAATAATAAGATATAGTTATTTGTCATCTAATTAGAATTATGCCATTGTATTATAGCAACTAAAGGTGTCATAAATTCAGTTATTTTATCCTATCTCGTATCTGGTAAAAAAAAGTATTGTGGAATGCATTTATTTCATTCTTTAATCTTGATTATCCAGCACAAAATATTTTAACGTTAATTGCTATGCAGTATAAGGTTTAATAAAAATATACTTTACAGAAACCTTAACTGAAAAAATATATTTACAGCAGAGACTTTTTATTATAAAATTCTATTAAAAAAATGGACAATTAATTCTCACCACCATTTTTAACATAACATAAAGCAAACTTTCAGACTAAAAAACATAAACCAAAAGGTAATTGTTTTTACAATTTTAAGCAACACAATGCTTGTTAGTTGGATAAAATTTTCTTTGCAGTACTAAATTACTTTTTTCTTTGTAATAACTGCCTTTTGTCCCTTTATTCATGTTGCTCTTCAAGGATCTCTTGCAACATACCTGTTGGATGGCTGACAACTCAGGTAAAGATGAAGAACCAGCAGTCAACAGAATCCCGATCATAAACATTACAGAGTTGGCCTGTTCTACTATGATTTTAGGCACAAATTGTATAAAGAAATGTTATGGAATAAATGTCCCATCGGAGGCTGAGAAAGTCCAACCTTTTTTGCCAGTAAACTTCTCCAGAACACCTCCTAAGTCTGGAAATAATGAAACAGCCTAGCTTTGATAATTATAACTGACTCCAGTTTGCTATGCAGCCAGTTTTCTTTCTAGATAATTTATGACTCTACTTTTCTCAACCAAATGGAAGCCTTGCAAGGATTTGTTTTTTTCAACTATTTGTTTGACGGTCTTCAATCCTGGGCAAACCTGGCAAAAGGCTTCTCAAAAGATGTTCTTTATGCATTGTACTGCCTGGCTAAAATGCCTTTGGCAGAAAAAGACAAACTATTAATTCTGTAGTCACCAAATATTCATAGCAGGACAGAAAAATAATACTGTGAGTTCTTGCAGAATGTTGTAGACATCATATACAAACATTTTGTGATTTTTTTTTTTTACAGGATCATACAAATAGCACTAAGGTACACATCAGATACAGGAATATTTCATAAGGCTTCACCTATGTGTCCTGTGTAAAGATATTTGCAATAACATTTTTAATGCAAACATGATATTATTTTAGAATAGTTAAATGGTTCAAATAGAAAGAATACAGAAATAAAAATTGGGCATGATACTATTTGCAGATGATTTCACCATGTTTTGAAACAAGGCTTTCGGAGTTTACAGAAGTGAAAGAATGGGTCTGAGCTTGCAGCTGAACGGCTTACTTCTATTCTGTGTTCCCACTGGAAGGTGCCCGTGGATTGACTATAGTGCTCATTTGGTTAACTCTTTTCTTCAGCTCTTCTGTGAGTGCTGAGCAAGATGGCAGGTACAGTATGTTGAAGCGAAAGCCACTGCCGTTTTCTCACCTCATTGCACGGGGCTCCTTCCAGTTACAGGAAATCTTGCTCCTCCAGCCAGGATAAATCCCATTATCCCATTTCCTCGCTGGGCAGAGGGATATAAATAGACAGCCCAAATGCAGACATCAGTTCAAGCCATCGGAGTTGCCTGCGGGAGGGAGGGCCGAGAGGGGATTATCCTCTGCTAGTTGGAACTGGAGGCCCTGTGGCGCGGGACACTGTTTGCTCTGAAAATCGAGTTAGGATTTCACACGAGGCCTGGTCAGCACACCCGCTTGTAAAACTCTCTCTCTCTCACACTCACACACACTTCAATGGCCTGAGGAGTTTGCGTGCTGTTGAAGTGGACAGTGGGCTGAATCTACTGTAACACTTGCTGAGCTTCTGTGGTGCTTCAACAGTCACAGGCATAAACATCTGGGACAATGATGATTAGAGTTCAAGGTAAATGGAACAAAATCCCAACGTAATGAACAGACCCGGGCTCTTTTCTTCACAAAGTGTTTCTCACTAACTACTGTCTTCGACACTTTCACACAAGCATATACAACAAACATTCTTTACCGAATTTTTAGGGTAAAAGCGTTTTAAGAGTGAAAGGCTTTCATTGTTAAGTTTAGAACATGAATTTGAAAATTCAAGTTTAGCTAATTTTTCCAGGGAACACCTTCTTCCTTTTTAAAAGTACAGAAGCTAATTGGTGCCACAGATGAAAAAAGAAGTTGCATTTAAACAAGATAATTTTCAGATTTAAAACAAGATAATTTGTTTGTTTAAATTAGATACTTTTTGCTTTTAAACGAGATTCTTATAATACACGAGATAGTGACGCAAATACATTGCCAGTGTTACGACCCCAAGTGTCTAGGGGAAAAGGGGTGTAACATTTAGGATAATCCTTTTGGAAGCAGGGGGGGGGGGGTTGGTGAGGGACTAGGAAGCGTGATAAGGGTAAGGAACTAGAGTGGTGCCAAAGGAAAGAAAATAACAAACAAAATGGAGCTGGCTAGGACAGTGAGGGAAAGCTAATCTGACTACAAAAGAAAACCCGAAACACACGGTCTCCGGCGTCTTCAACACCCTAGCTAACCTGCACTGACTACCCAAAACCATACAAGACAAACGGCACTCACCTGTACTAAACTAGTGTTACTAATACAAAATCAACTAAGTGTGTTAAGTGTACCCAACAACCTAAACTAACCTTATATACAAAAGTTCACACAAAAACACAAGTGAACCAGAAAGACAAATAAGGGAAAACAAGAGTAATAAATAGGAGCAGGGTACAAAAAGAACACAAAAGTTGAACATGTAATACTGGGGCAAGGTAATGACAAAACAAGGATAAACACACAAACAAAGAAACTAACGTAAATCCAACAAAACAACAAAGCCGAAGCTATCCAAAAATACCGAACTGAACCGAAGCAATAACCCGAAGCGAAGCGAAGCGAAGCGAAGCGAAGCGAAGCGAAGCGAAGCGAAGCGATAACCAAAACCGAACAGGACCAAAGTCAAACAAAAGGCCTCTTCTTTCTGAAAGCCTCCATGTTATATAGTGAATAAGATGTGTTCTGATTGGCTGAGGCTAACTAATGATGACATCATACTGAAACAGTGGAGTGACGGTGGGCCAATGGGGAAGGGAGAACAATCAAGGGTCAGCAGTGTGGAACAGAAAAAACACACACAGAACACACCCTGGGACGCAACAGCCAGCAACAAAACTCTCTTCATAAATGTTTTAGTCTGTTGGCTACAGCTTGTGCGCTGTCCTGCAATTGGTTTTGATTTTCATTTCATTTTGTTTTGGCATTGGCATTTGTAATGCCATTTCCATTTCTCTTTACATGCGTGTCTGTGCAAACTGACACAGAAACACTGTTTCTTCTCCCTTCAAATGACTTGCTTCCTGCATTTCACTGTGTAATTCTCACAATTCAAATATATCTGATGCACATGCTTCTGCAGTTTCACATTAAGAATAAAATACATTTGTAAAGGTTTTCACAGAAATGGTAGAAACGACGTGTTTAATCCAGGAATGCTCAATCACAGGGTGTTCTACTTCATGTATACAAAAGAAAGAACACATGCTTCTTTAGAGTAACTCACCGGCACAAGGAGGAGTGTGACAATACTCTCCTGCTGTTAAGCACAATGCTACTTTCCATGAGACAATATTATTGTATATACTCTGTATTGCAAGACATGAATATATTAGGCAATAATGTTCACAGAATAATTTTCGTGTTTTATCGCAACGTTATCTCATTTAAACACACAAAATGAATCCCCACGGCTCTAATAAGCTTCCGTGTAAAAGACAGCAAATGAAATATGATTTAGAATATTTGTGTCCTGCATAGAGCAA